AGGGTGAGAGAGAGTATGGAAATATGTCAGGGATTCCTGACACCTTTTATTTGGATTTATTATTTTCTATTTTAACACTTTATAACAGTTAGAAAGTTGAAAATAAGACATCATAATCGCAATCACTTATGTTCACATCGAGTCATCATCATCATTAAAATTCATATTCATTAGATTCTATTCATAATCATTCTAATTTCTAGATGATAGATCTAACTTTTCTAAGTCAAACATCTTCTTCTTCTTTTGAAGTTTTGTTAATCTCTCAAGCCTTGGAAAACTGTGTATTCCTAGCCTCTTTTTCATTCAGCCCAAATGGCACACAGTATACACTACAAGCAAGAAATATCTTTCTCAGTTTATTAATTGAGCGAGCCCCGAATTCATCAGGCAGGTGCAGAGAAGTCCAGCGGGGAGGCCACGGGCTAACGCCCATATACGGCGGCCTGGCTTGCTGGCTCCTGACCGTACGATAACCCTACACCCTGGCGGCACTAAACTAAACACAATCACACAAATAATCCACTCGGTTTCTTACCAAAATAAATGACTTCTGACTTGAATATTCTTTTCAGTTGATAATCCTTTGAAAAATTCCCAGTCTCTGCGTCCTGGCTAGCTTGTCCACTGCTTTCAAAACAATACTTCTTATCGTTAAAACGGAAATTAGTAGCTATTCGGATTTCCTCGATACGAAAATCGGCGAACTCAGTTCAACGCCATAGACGGATATGACGAATCACGTGACTAACGAGCCCTAAAATTTATGAATCACTAATGACGTCATGCTAGACGACGAACAATCAAAATCATCGATTTTCGACCGAAGTTGTAAAGAAAGCTCATGCAATTGTTGTCATCGTGTCTAGTTATGTTTTAGGTAAATATTCCAAACTTCTAGGCGGAGCAATATTAAATGTGACCTTTCGACCCGGCGAACAAACATGTGAAACAGAAGTTTGTTTGGATCGAAAGGGAAATTCCCGTTACGATGATAGATTATAAGGAAGCTCCTAGTAACAAGGGAACCCCTAAGTGACGTAATTACAACGCTATGTAAAGAGATAAGGCGGTCCTGCCGTCACGGAAACACATGACGAATAATGTGGGGTGTTTTTTGGGGTTGTAAGTAGTATTTTGAGAGCTAAGCAAAACAAACATATTTGACACCTATGCTCTTCTTTGGCTCACTTCAACTTAAGTATATAGGCCGGGGCGTATCATATACAATTACATGTATATATATTTTTTCTTTTATAAAGTCTCCTTTTGTTTTGTTTTTGAAATACATTTTGTGAATCTTGAATATGTTATGCATTGGTAGAAAGAAAATTTATTCTATGAGAAAAAATTGAGGATTTCCTTTTCCCCAGTTCAAACAATATAATGTCACAGACAAATTTGTATCTCAATTACTTGCCTAACTTATGGAATTTTATATTCCTAAAGTAAATATTGAAATGTAAATATGTTCAAAGTTTATTTATATGCCACAATGTCAATTTAACTTGGACAGACAATTCTTCTCTCTTTATCTCTGTTCAGGTTCAGGGGGTGTTTCACAAAGCTCCTAAGTTGAACTTAACTCTAAGTTGGACTTAAAAGTTATGGAGAGCCATTTGTAGCCTTAAAATGAAATACATTCAAAAGCAAAAATTCAAGTATTTTAGACTTTAAATTAATTCCACATCAACAACATGAAATATCCTTGATGATAGAAAATATGAATGATTTAAAAATCAACATTTTATGCCTTCTAAAATAACTTTTGCAAAATATTTCCTAAGATGCTAACGGCTTTCCATAATTGTTAAGTCTAACTTAGAGTCTTTGTGAAACACCCCCCCCCCCCAAGTCTGTTTATTGTTTCTCTTTCTCACTGTCAGCTCTCTTTTTGTCTCCCCTTCTTTATCTCCATTTTAGTGTATTGGGAAATATAGATGAAAATTATTATAATTATCATAATTATCATCCTTATTGTAATTATCATCATTATTATCATCATTATTGTAATTGTTATCCTTATTCTTACAATTATTATTATTACCAGTGTGTTGGCTCAGTCAGTAGAGCGTCCGCCTCACAACCGGGAGGTCGCGGGTTCGAACCCCGGCAGCGTCATACCAAAAGACGTTAAAAGACGGTAGTTGCTGCTACCTTGTTTGGTGTTCAACAATAAGGGATAGAGCAACGTCGATCCGGCGCTGCTCTGTGGCTGCCAGGCTCACGATCAATTGGGCAAAAAGAATTTCCATTTTCGGTTTAATAAAATTTGGAGTGAACGTTAAGAGATTATTATTACTATTATTACTAGGAGTAGTATTATCATTATTATCATCATTACAATAATTAGATTCACCATTCACATTTCTTTCCCATCATATGTATCACTCTCTCATAACTGAAAGGACAACAATAAAAAAGAGAAGGAAAAAAAAACAGAAAGGGGAGAAAGACTCAATTAAAACAGAATCAGTACAACCAAGTGCATTTGTCAATCTACATTTTATTCCTGAAATTCATTACAATATTTATAAAAAACAGGCTTTCCGAATATTAACATTACCTTAACTACTACCTACTACAGCTCAAATCCAGTGCATAACCCATGGATTAAAATCACGCAGCATGCCTCCAAAACCATTGTGTAGTCAACGTACTAAATTGCTGATGACCATAACATGCAGTAATGGGAATGTTTAGTAGGACCATTGGAGTGACTAACAATTTGTTTTTCACCATTTTTTTCAGAAGTGAAGTTTTTTTCTTGAATGGTATGAAATTCAGTCTGGATTTATAACAATAATAAGAATAGATTCAATTCCTATGGTGCTTTAAGCATTTTCCTCAAAGTGCATTGATTTGAAGGCACAGTAAATGTTGCTAACGACTTTACACCGATAACTGGCATTGAGAAATTAGAAGTATGCATCATATCACTACATGTATGCCTTAGCACTTCTCTGAGCTGTATACTAATTAATCTAATAATAATATCTACATCTTTGAAAATAAATAAATTCAGCTACATACACAATCTTCCACCATGATCAAGTGACTTTTGCAAACTCATTTGGTACATTATGCATACTAATTGCAATAAATTCATTTCCTTGGGCCCCAGAAATGGACCCTGGACAATGTAAAAAGTTATCTGTTGAAAGAGAATATGTGAACAATTGGAGACGACTAACCTTTCTTACAATGTGAATTTCTTAAGTAAATATTCTTAGGTTGTATGTGACAAGTGAGCATGATGGCAAGGCAAATGTGCCGGGATGAAAATTCACAAATCCAGCAAACACAAGAACAATTGATTAATTTGATTAATTTTGATTAATCTTGATAAAGGATAATAAGCACAACTTTACAGTGTACGTGTTCCTTACACGTGTATCATAGATATGTACTTTAATCATGAAACCACTTCAAATGCATTAAAAAAAGTTTTACTTTATCAATACGGTTGATTGTTGAAAGTTTTGAGATAAATGGCCCATAAACCCAAGTTGTAATAATACAACCGCAATACTACTTATGGCGCTGTTGCATAAGATAATTTAGTGCTGGGCAAGAGTACACTTCCACGCGAAAATTCTATTCAAAATAAAGGTTAATAATAATAAATGGCAAAGATGAAGAAAAAAAATGGGAAAATACAGTTAACTCTGCAAAACTCGAAGTCAAGCAAGTCAAATTTCCCCTAACTCAAATTATTAGTCCAAATTATGCAAAATATGTGTTAATTTCACTTCCAAAATCAAACTTTGCATTATAAGTCAATCTATTCCCAACAGATTTGACTTATGCAGAGTTACCTGTAGAAGATTTAAAGATGCCTTAAGTACATGTAGTAGAAATAATACAACAAAAACATTTTGAAAATGAATACAGAAATATAAAATGCACAATCTCTTAACATATTTTTACCTTAAGTAAACTGGAACAGCATATACACAAACAAAATTTAAATAACATAAGGCAGAAGCAACCATTTGAGTTGCCACTTGATTTCATAATCTCAAAGAAAAATTGATTCACAAGATAAAGAATTCAAAACCAAAAGATTATCAAAACACATTTTGTTTTCTTCTCCACAGCACAATAGTGTTTTGTTTATCTGTTGGCCTTCGATAAAAAAAAAAAGAGAGTCATTTGGCAAAGAGGTAATCAGCTTGCTGGACAACCTTCCCATTGGACTAAAGACAGATTTACATAATAATAATAACATAATATGAACTATAAAACCAGAAATTAGGTGACTTATCAATTATTTTTTTTAATGCTGCAATATGGATCATAACACAGTGTGTTTTGCAAATCATGCAAGTTCTTGTTGTGGACACGACCATTACCAATATTTGTGAGAGTTCCTGATTTTACAAAGAGAGTGCTTAATTTTTGTTAGCAGGATTGCAATACAAGGATATTTTAGCACAATATGCTTGAAAGTCAATTCTCTAAATTCATAGGCTTTGCATCTTTTATTATTACATGTATATACAACACTATCCCTTGACAATATGAACATATCAGTATGTTATCAGTATGTTATTGCACTCGAAAAAGAGATCACGGTAATGTAAAAGAAGTGGCGATTTATACAATATTCAAAGGTAGATTCAAGCTTATCAAGCATGATGCAAATCATTATCAAAGGTATAAAATCAATCTAAATGAAGCTCTCTCACTCTTATCTTCACCATCTCAACTAATCATTTTTGTTTCTTCTATTTCTCTCTCTCTCTCTCTCTCTCTCTCTCTTATTATGCTCCTTTGTTTCTCTTTCTCTAATCACGTTTTTCTTTAATGGTTAATTTCTCTCTTTCTTCCTCTCATTCACCCTCTCTCATTCTCTCCCTTACCTATCTCACTCTCTCTCTCTCCCCCTCCCTATCTCTCTCCCTCTCTCTCATTCTCTCCCTGTTACCCCTCTCTCTCGTTCTCTCTTTCATTCAACCTCTCTCTCTCGTTCTCTCTCTTTTTCTCTATCTATCTCTCTTTGTATTTCTTTATTTTTACTTTGTAGATACACAAGAGCATTTATTTATAAATTACCTACAAGCACTAATTTGAGTTCAGTGGAACACTTTAAAAGTGTTTGTTGCCTTCAATCATGTGTGGGGATACGAACAGTTCTGAATATACAAAGTTTGGTCCAGATGAGAACGAAGCGGAAGAGACGGTTACCGGTACTATGGAAACAGATCATCAGATCTCTTGCTCAGGAAAAATGCACCGCATAAGGAGATTAGGATCACAATCATTCCAACTGAGAATGCTACCACCTGGGGAGAAAAACAACAAGGTGATCATTATTTAATCTCTCTTTATTAAATGTCTTTTGGCAGATATTTGTCTTTGGAAGAGATAAGTCAAACTTAAAGCCCGTCTGTACTAGTTTGGCCAGGAGGGATTAGACCACACAGCAAGGTCAATGACAGGTGGCTATCTCATCAGCTCAGCTCTCAAATAACATAAGAAATAGAGGATCATGGGGGACCAACAGGCACTGATTGGGGAAGTTTTCTATATAGAGGGAGCAATTAGCTACAAGTAGGACAGTGGGACTTTAATCTTTCTTTATTAAATATCATTTGGCAGAAATTCGTCTGTGGAAGAGAAAAGGCAAACTTAAAACCAATCTTGAGTTTTGGTAATGGAATTATATTGCAGTAAAAACATTATCTTGAATTTTGTTCATGGAATCACGTTTTGAGAAAAAATGGTTCAATTTAATTATAAATTGTTTGCCATGCAGGAGTTGGGGTGGGCTGTTCAGACCAGCAAAACTTAAACGAAACAAAACTTTCTAAAGATCGCAGCCAATAAAATGCAAGGATTTCAGTAGCTTGTAATAATTATTGTATTTTGTTACTGATAAGTTTTGAAAAATAGGGCCCAGAATGATCTTGCTATGTCACCCACCTCCTCTGCCTACCTACCTCTGGTCCTCTTCAACATCTGTCTCCCTCTGTCGGCATCCTCATCGTACACTTATTTCATGAAACTTACCCAACTAAAGCTGTTATGAATCTATTACGGTTATTTCATTTTGTAAATTGATTTGCACACTTTGACCATTGAATTTTCCCCCTCTAAATCTTGTCTATGAGCCTGTATAAGCTGTTTATTAAAACTGATAAGTGATAATGCAAGTTTGCACACATTTTTGTCCTTTCCCACTTGCATAACCACTGAAGAAGACATCTACAATCAATGAACAGGCATAGCCGTATAGCATCACCGGATTAAAGTAAAGTAAAGTAAGTACATGGATAATAAATGAAGAGTTTAATACCAAAAGGAGCTAAATACATTTTTGTAACTTGAGAGAAAAAAGAATTTGTTTACCAGATTTTGTACAGGCGTCTATGGAAAAGTGATATGAGAAGGTGCATTTTTTCACAATTGCTCCCAAAATTTAGGTAAATACTTTTGTTGAAAGACAGGTACTGAAGTAAACAATGTTCTGATATCAATAACTCAATTTTCATCAAAAGTGGATTTAGCTCTTTTTGGAATTAAACTCTTCAAATACTTAATGTTAATTTCCATCTATGTCTCACCTCCTGGCTTCTGCTTGGTTTTAGGAAAGCCCTAATGCGGTAAGAACTCCACTGAGACTCCGTCCACGTGGAATATACCGTCGACCCCCAATCTGGAGTCTCGCTGTCGAAGGCTGGCGAGATGGCCGGGGTGAGATGTCGGGAGCTCTTCACGCAAAGCCCATGGGTGCCGTTGTAATCAGCGCCAGCCATGAAGTCATAGCTGAATATCTGTCAAGGCGATAAAACATGATTTGCATTGTCAGTGGCAGAAACTTGGAGTCTGGAAAAAATCGCGCTTCGCAAGATATCGTGAGCTTTGATGGAGTAAACCACGGCTTTTTACTTTTTGTGATGCCGTATACCAGTAAAGGACTTAGCTTCACGTTTCTGTACCTTATAACACAGACCTAAGTGTATACCAGTGGGACCATTGTTGTGGGCAGTTACCATTTATTTATATCTTTGAAGAAAAAAATGTGGCACTTTTTGAGGCATATCTGAACGAGCCTTACTTCAGTAGCCAGTGAACGCAGATTAACATTATTTATAAGTTGGAATAATAGGGTATTCTTTCTACCTAAAAAAGTATGGGGAAAGCCTTCTACAGAAACTCACATTTCTTTTGGTAATCCACAGGCATTCGTTGATGGGTTTTTTAATTTTGTTTTTTAATTTATAATTGTACTTGTTTTCTTGTATTCTTCATTATTACAATACTCCTCTATGTTCCATGAAATGAAATAAAATAAAAATGAAAACATGATATGATTCTTCCAGTCCAAGGGGGAATCCTAATTATATCTCCAAAGACAATACATTGTGCATTGTATTTAACAGCAACTTCAAGAAGAAATCTTTCATTTGGCAGTAAACACATATATTATTGTTTATATTATTGTACTTCTGTTTATTGTATTCTTTGTTACTGCTATACTTCTTTATGTTATGTCCAGTTTTTATTGCTACGTATCAATTGAATATTTTTAATTAAAGTAATGTTATTTCATTTCCATAAACTTGTAGAAGTACATGTATAACAGTTACAAAGAATACAAAAAAACAAAGTACAAAACAAAACAAAATCATCAGCTAACTAAGCACTGGCATGAAGGGGGAGGAGCATCATTCTTACAAGAAAAATAAAAACTCAGATATACAATGCTCCTAATATGAGGGACGTGGAATGAGGTGGTATAAGCATCTTATTTTCTGGTCCTTTCCCCTCTTCTTTCCATTTTCTCTCTTTTCTTGCTACATATATCTCTTTCTCTCTTAATACCTTTTTTTCTCTATTCTTGCTATCTCTTTCTCCCTTTCCCCTCTCTATTTCTCCCTTTTTCCTTTTCTCTCTTTTCTTGCTATCTCTTTCTTCTTACTTTTTCAGCACTTGAAAGGGTGGGGAAATAAAACTCAAATATACAATGCTCCGTTCGGGCATCTTCTTTTCTGGTCCTTTTCCCCTTTTCTTTTCATTTTCTCTCTTTTCTTGCTATCTATAAGCGCATAGGGACATGCTATCCTGTAATGTGTTATGCGCTATAAAAGAGCTGAGTATTATCACTACTATTATTTCTTCTTACTTTTTCAGTACTTGACAGAGTGAGGGGAAATCCCCCCCCCCCCTCCCCCTCCAATCCCAAGAAAAGGAAACAGAAAGACTACTTACTTGATCATCCTTCTCCCCTATACAGTTCTCCTTTGCGGTATCTTGGGTCATGGGTTCACTGTCCAGTTCTAGGTAGTAAGCCAACAGTTTACCAACCAGTATGGTGACCTGAGATTGCTGGCTATCGACTCCCACGTAATAGTTATACGTGCTGTTAGATATACCTGTGGTGTTATCAGAGAAGAGAGAATATTCAATGAGAATAAGAAAACGCTTCATCAAGAGGTATACCTGAAAACAGACAACATTATAACAATTTAAGCCCAAATGTCTTCCATGTCTAGAGTACTTCTTAGCACAAAACAAATTTATGATTTATAGATTTAAAGTTGATCCATCACCTGAATAAATAGGTAGAATATGTACTTACTTTTCCATTCTTCCGGGCTGACTGCTTCCCGTACTCGACTGCAGTTAGGTCTCTGATTGAAGCAGTACAAGAGATCATTCACCTAGAAAGAGGGAAAATATCATTTGAATAGAATTGTGATACAACAGAAGGATAAGGCCTGCTCCCACGTGAGGCAGCTACATGGACCTCTTTTGGGAAGAAGTAAGAATGGCAACAAAACAAAAATAAATTCTAATCATATGCCTTATATATCTGTAAATTAAAATAAAGGGTTAAATAAGTGCACGGTGAGATTTTGTGATGAGTATCTCAAAATGATCTTGAAGTTGAAGCCTCTGTAAAAATTAACTCTTAACAGAGACGATAAGCACATGGACCTCAATTTAGGTGCAAAACCAATCACACACAAAAAAAGCATCTTTCTTTATTTGGTTAAAGTAGTCTTAGAAGTAGGTTGACACTTACCAAATTTACATCAGCCGTTATGTTATCAGCATCTGTAGCACCTGGTCTTGCATACAGGTATAGACCCCTTGCAATGGTCGTGGCTAGGTTTGTGAGGGTCTGCAGAATTGGAATTTAAGTGCAAAATGATGGTAATTCACAGCATTTCAATGGTGCCATGTATCTAAAAACATTCACAAGAGCAAGATGAGGGATACCGGTTGTTTTCAACCAGTGAGCCTGAAAAGAAACTCTGACTAGTTGGAAAGACGATTTGCCCAGGTTCTGCAAATACTATAAAGCAACAAAACCGTATCAAGTAGCACATGTCCTGTATATTCAGAACATGACATTGGAGGTGCAAAATGATGACTTTATCTTCTTAGATATCAATACAATTTCAATGTTCAGGGACCTGTTTCACAAAACCTTTTTTCAATGACAAATGACAAAAATCAGTGACAAATCTGCTGATAACCAATCAGAAGCAAGGATTTCAGTAGCTTATAACAAAAACTGTCATTTCTCACTGATGACAAATTTTGTGAAATGGGGCCCTGAAACCAGGACATTTTAAGATGACAATCTTTTGGCCTAAATAGCAGATGCGCTTATTTTTCTTCTAACCGTCTATCCTTTTTATTCTCTTCACTTTGTGCAGGTACTGAAAGCAACGATAATATAATAATAGTCACATTATAACCATTGATTATAACTGAAGAATGACAGCAGAGGCCCTGGCTTCAATTAGGGCCCCGTTTAAAACAACTTGACGTCAATAACAAGTTACAATAACTGTTATAAGCTATTGAAATCATGGCATTTGATTGGCTGAGAGCAAATTTGTGATCGAAATTTTTGATTTGATATTGATAACAAGTTTTATGAGACAGGGTCCTGATACATGTTCCAGTCGATCTAATAGACACAGGAAGTTGTAAGTAGGTTTCCTTATAGTCTTGCAGCTACAAATGAAGTAATATCATTGCAATGAGATCAAGGGAGTATTTCACAAAGACTAAGGTCGACTTTAAGTTGGACTTAACTATGGCAGGCCATTCATAACTGGTTGCTCTCACCATTGGTCTCTCAAGTATGATATTTAGATACCAACATTTCCTTCAATTATGCACTATAAAAAAATGTAAATTCTGTTGATTTGTGACCATGATTTGTACGTCCCTTGAGAGACCAATGCCAGTAAATGGTGAGAGCAAACAGTGGCATGAACAGCCTGCCATAGTTAAGTCCAACTTAGAAGTCGATCTTAGTCTTTGTGAAACACCCCCTAGAAACAAATAAATGTACGTGTAAGAGTGAGACAGACAGGGTAAATGAGACTTACTTGTGCAACTGGGAATATGGGTAAAAATTCAGTGCTATTATACTGGGTATAGTTGATCCCCCATACTTCAGCAATATCCAGTCGACTGTTGTAATATCTAGAAAACAAGAACAAGAAATGACAAACAAGTTACAGAACATCTATTCAATATTAAAGTGTTATAAAGCAATTCATTAGTAGAATATCTCTCTGGTTTTCAGATTCTAAGACAGATATCTAATCACAGAATGTGGAGCAACAGGGTATGAAACGCTGAAACGGACGGCTCCAGACCGAGGAACTTGGAGAGACACTTGATATAGAATTTTGATTGGGTCACTGAACCTGTTATAAACTGACAGATCACTATTGATGAAGACAGATAGTGAGGGTTTTAATGAAAGAGAGGGGAACAACTCATGCACTTGCAGAATGCAAAAACTGGGCACTTTAAAGAGAAGGTTGAGTTCTGAGAGGTGAAAAATAATTTGTGAGCGTTATCATTGTTATTATGCAAGTGTGGAAGAACCTCACTCTACCCATAATGCAAGACACATAAAGAAGCAATATTTCATTGTGTACAATAATTGCATTCTAGTGGCTTTGTCCTCTATTGACATATTTCAATATCCCCAGTTATGCCTGTACAAACTACATTTATCTCATTACTTAGTTAAACATTTGAGCTGTAAAACCATTTCAGTCTAATACAAGCCACTATGTGAACTGTGAAGTATGTTTCCTACTACTTAGTTGCTGGTATACTTGTCTTTCTGACAACAGCATGCTAGAACACTGCTTAGAACTTAGTCAAACTTACTTATTTGCATATTCCCTCTCATGATCTGTGATGACAACTCCCGGTATGTCTGTCCCGTTTCTCAAGAACTGCTGGAATGAGGCTGGAGGAAGTGGTTGGTCCAGAGACACGTTGTTCATTGTGACGTTGACTGCGGAGGATCTCAGGAGCTGCATAAGTCTCTCCGTCTAAAAGAAGACAGCAAGGTCATTTCAATTAGCTAGTGTGGAAAATCTTGCACTGACTGGAGTGATCGAGGGGAAAAGGAGTAGGGGTAGAAGGAGGATTCGGTGGATGAGTAGCTTAAAGAGTGGGATTTCTGAAAGTGGAATCGATCTCAGGGAAAATGAATTACTTCATAGAATATGGGACAGAGAGTTGCGGCATTCCATGGTCGCCAACGTCTCAGGACACGGCACTTAAAGAGGAAGAAGTGTAAGGTTCCTTCGTCAAGCCATTTAATGCTGGCTTGGATGGGATGGACATTTTTTTTCTACCCTGGCAAGGTAGTTAGGTCCTTTGACATGACATCGATCTACACATTTGCCTCTCTCAACCCAGGGGCACTTTTGGTTACCCAGTACATGCTTATTTTTTTACTTTGTAAAGCACATAGAGAAACTTTTCGTTTATTGTGCGCTTAAAAAATGAATCTTCAAGTTCAAGTTCATTTTATTTCACATCCAATAAAAACATCATTATAACATTAAAAATACAATTATACAAAATGCAATATATATAAAATATAATAAGAACAAATAAAACAACAACAGTAACACTAAAATTGATTAATGGGTGGAGTAGGGATGTGAGGGACCAGCAAAGGCCATTGACCTATCTAGGCTGGTCCCCTTTTTCTACAACCCCAAAAGTAAAATCTTTAGTAATTAAAAGCAAAATATTGACAATATAGACATTACATTAACTAAGACATATAAACACACATACAAGGACAGGCAGAATTAATAAAAGCTAAAAAAGTATATTGTAACTTGATATTTGTTTGTGTTTAAAATTACGCTTAAAACTAGACAATGTTGGGCATGCTTTGAGAGAATCTGGTAAGTTATTCCAAATAATGGATCCTTTATATTTTATTACTGTTCTTGACAAATTATAGCGAAATGAAGGAACATAAAGTTTGTGTGAATTTCTAGTACTATATTGATTTATATCTCTATTAAAAATAAAATAATTATTAAAACAATCAGGTAAAGTAGTTATATTGTACATGTAAGAGAACATAAAAGCTCCAATACTTATATCATATAGATCATAAAGTTTTAAAAACTTCAGCTTAAAAAACAATGTACCTGTATGTGCTTTATAATATGAGTTTGTTATAACCCTGAAGGCTCTTTTTTGTAATAAAAATAGCTTTTGAAGCAGATACGAAGCGCAGTTGCCCCATACAATAATACAATAATTAAAATAAGGCAAAATCATAGAGTTATACAATTGTACAAGTATGCGTAATGGTAAAATATCTTTGAGTCTATTTCAAACACCAATGACCTTTGACAGCTTGTTATTATTAAAATAAAATTAAAATTAATCAGTAAAGTGCCTTATAAGAAAACATCAGTGACCTTGCAGGGAGGTCTAATCCCCCATGGCCGAACTCATCGGAAAGAGTCTTGAAGAGTCACTCACCCCCTGTTGTGTAGTTGAGTCTGACTGTGACAGGGGGTCGATGTGCATGTAGAAATGATCTCCCTCCGACAAGGCCAGCTGTCGTACCTCTAGGACCGCTGCGACGGTCGACAGGTTGACTTTGGATGGCTGTGTCTTCGTATCGTCAAGCTTGTAGGGGAAAATCCCTTTGTTCATGTCGTACACCATACGTGATGATCCGATGTAATCGTAGCTTTCCTGTAGAACATACCAGTAAATTAATTTGGTGAATAATGTAGTGGTGGTTATTTTACCTGACTGCTAAGAAAGCATAAATGCTTGTTAGTAAGCAGCCAGAGGACCTACAGCTCAAGGTCCTCTCCGAGAGACCTGGTAAAGAGGATTAATGCCTTACCAAAGGGCACTAGCGCATCGTCTTGGGTTCGAACCCGGTCCCCAGATTACGAGACCACTGCTCTACCGACTGAGCTATCGCGCTTCGTAGAGCTCAAGATGATGTAATACAGTTACGCAAGAACAGTCTTGATAGGTACTCTTGAAAGTTGCAATGTAACAAATTCAGTAAAATATCTTATGGCAGCAAATCTGAAGGGTAAAGACAGATATCATCAATGCAGTCATATTTGCCTGTGTGATTTCTCCCCTATAATAATCCTTTTGAAAAAAAAAATCAGGTTTCATGCACTGCAACAAATATTCTTTATCAACAGTACCCTTTCATCATTTGTTTTGAAAGGCATGCAATTATATGTTCACATTTTCAAGCCCATTGAACACAATTTTATGAGAAATGAACAAATATTTTTCGAGTAGCAGAGTAAGACTTACGCCTTGGAAGAAAGTGAACATGATGTTCTTCATGTCCTGTTTGGTTTCTAAAGGCAGCGCTCCTATGGCCTGGGCCGCAGCGAGCAGGGCCACAAAACCAGATACTGTGTTCTCTGCACCCTGTGTAGGCAACGCCTGGTAGAATAGGTCAGCTATGTCCAACTATATGGTGTGAAATAAAGGGAGGAAGGTTAAAGGAAGATACTGTAGTAATCCGTTTTCATGTGCAGTAGGTCAAAATTGGTTGACACCAGACTTGGTGGAAGTACCATTAATGGGTGTACAAGTCTTGCACACAGCAAACCCATCATGTACAAGTCTTGCACACAGCAAACCCATCATGAACAACTCATGAAAAGTTCCAAGTTGTGAATGTTTCTGATTACATGTACACAAACATACAAGCAGAGAAAGGGTTATGCTTCAAGGAATTAAAGCCTGTCTGTACTAGTTTGGCCAGGGGGGATTAGACCTCCCTGCAAGGTCACTGACAGGTGGTTATCTCATCAAATCAGCTCTCAATTAACATAAGAAAAAGGGGATCATGGGGGACCAACACGCACCGATTAGGCATTGCTTGCTATTTAGAGGGCACAAGTAGCTATAAGTAGTGCAGTGGGGCTTTAAATGTAGTTGTTGCCGAGGCATCCAAAATCAACAAAAAGGTTCGATTCTCACCTGAGCTGCGGCTATGATCATTGATTTATCAGGGGGAGGTGTCGATTTATTGGTTGGTAGAAGAGTGGCCCAGACGTTCCAGTCTCCTAACGGATCACAGTAAACACCTGCAAGAATAAAACAATACCAAGGTTTAGCAAGTCTGTGTATAGGGTTTAGCGTTCCCCAAGGCATTACATTTGATACAGACATTAATAGTGTAAACTGCTCAAAGGACACAGGAAGGGAGGATATCTATAACCAGGGCAGCGTTTCATGAAACCGTTATAAATACAAGTTCACCGACATCCCATTGAAACGTGTGTTAAACTTAATACACGCATTTCAATGAGGTGTCGGTGAACTTGTACTTACGGCAGTTTCGTGAAACACTGCCCAGGTTGTCTTTGCATGCTAGGGAGAAAGTTTTATTGGAATAAATGTATTAAAATAATATTAAAAAACATCAACAATATCAACAACTTAAATGCAGTGAAATCACATTTTACCCCCTGAACTGAGTGATCCAAATCAATCAGGTTTGCAGTCCACTATCTCTTATGTACATATTTACAATTGATATTTACAGAATAGGGCCCTGTATTATTGAAGGAACCTGTACATAAACACCTCCTGCATATAAAGACCGCTTGTCTTATCACCCTTGGAACAGTCTTTATATACAGGTTTGACTGTCTACAGTTGAAAAATGCCACCTACTTGATTCCAGGTTTGTCATCCTCTGTGTTCTCCACATGCAGGTGGGTGTGTCCTTTGCTCCGAACATGAAGTCGTACATCTCACCGGCGCACTGTGGGAAGGGTTGTTCTTTGCCCTCCGCGTCACGATGGTTGTGCTCCTCGTAACACTGGACATAAAACAAAGTATAAATCATTATATACCTCTCTTTAGAAATCTAGCCATCTGATGGTCGAAATTGCAGTCGTGATTTTAACCATTCCCCTCATACCCGCCTACCAGTCACTATTCTTTTTAAAAATGCTGTCATGCTGCGATCCCCATTGGTTTACGTGTTTAAATTGTCTTTGTGCGAGCGCGGACACCATGCAGTGCTTTTTGTCTGCGATTCCCAAATGATTTAAATTTTCAGTCATTTTTCCAGCGAAGATTAACAGACAGTTTCTCAGATTTTCTGTGATGTTTTAACCAAACTTTACTCAAGAGAAGGATAAGGTGAGAATTCTTGGTAGATTTCTGTTTCAATTCGGCATATAAAAGACGTATCGACTGCTTTAATATTCGAGGTCTGGCTCTCAAAGCAGTCGATATCTCTATGATATTGTGAGGAGTGATTCTGTGCAGTGAGTCTCTTAGAGGTGCTGTGGTCTAGTGGATAAGTCTCCAGACTGTGAACTACAAGGCAAGGGGTTCAAATCCCAGGTGGTACTAATGTCCTTTGGCAAGATATTAATCTACATTTGCCACACTCAACTAAGTGTAGTAAGTGGGTACCTGGTAGGATTCATTCTTTGTATGCACTGAGCGCTACAGTTGCCAGAGCTAATTCTGGGGTAACATTATCCAAATACGGTAATAGCATTACCGTATTTGCCGGCGTAAAGGCCACAGTATTTTTATAAAACTTTATATCAATTAAAAATTATGACAAATGAACTATAAGCTACTGAAATCCTGGCATCTGACTGACTGGGAGCAAATCTGTCATAGAAATTTATCATTTGTTATTAATAGCAAGCTAAATGAGCCAGGGCCCAGCTCCAACAATATTGAATCATCAAAACAATGCTACTTTACACGTAAAACTTACTACTAATATTGTTACTAACATCATTGTGATGCTAAATATATTACTAATTGCGGATGAAGTATCAAAAATAATATCGCTAGTGATATTCGTTTGTCTCGCAATGTATGGTCAATAAGGGATCTAAAAGATCACGACGTTTCGTGCGCCGCTGCAACACTTCATCAGGTGATAAAGTATATTGTAAGTAAGCGTGTTATATACTCTACGGGTGGACCGACAGTCAAATAATTTGATCAATCATTCAAACAATAACGGACAAAGCACACAGGTGCTCAACCAACCGGTGCTGGCCAGCTGGACGGGGATTGTCATGACGGCGTATCATACGCATCCAAAATTCTGGGATATCGATCCCGTTGTCTCTGTTGAAATTATGTACTTACATCTTTTACAGTTTGAACATCTTCTGGATCAATGAGAGCAAAGATAGGAATGCCCAAATCCATGAAGGTCATCCCGTTCCCTACACTGTTCCAAGTGACCTTCTTACAGTTAGAATACTCCGGGTTCCCTGCATACATCCCTAGAGAGAAACAAACAACAGAAATACTGCTTTGATGTTTTTATGTAAACATTTATTCATTTTTATATATTTTTCCAATTTGCTATGTTTTCTTTAAATATGTATATATATATATTTTTTTTTTTAATGCTTTATTATATGATTGTATGTTTGATGTAAACTTTAGACTTTTTGACAAGTCTTGAATAAAACTCATTTGATTTGAAATGAATTGAATTGAATAAATAAATCTTTTTATCAAAAATTTCAAACCTGTCAACTTTCAACCGCAAAAATGATCTCAAAGTATATTGAGGAATACAGTGTAACTTTGCGCACTTGAAAACATGATGATAACGGTACCTATTTTCAGAAAAATGCATCTGTGCCATAAGTATTCAAATAAAGAAAGAAATCTGCAGTACATGCACATAAGGATAGCATGAAGGCAAAAATGTTGTAAGTAAATATATTCAAATACTATTGAATAGAAGAAGAAAAAAGGAGGAAGCAAAAAATAAGAAGGAATGATTGTCTGCTAATCAATAGCCTATGTGGTCTTTATAGGCAGGTGGTCTTTATGTACAGGGACCTTTAGTACATGTTTCAATGAAAAAGCATTTTCAAGGGAAACAAAAAATGTGGTATCTGTAGACAGGTGGTCTTTCTATAGCAGGTTTGACTGTATATATTACAGATTACTTATTTCTACATGACTTGAGGAGGCGCGATAGCTCAGTTGGTAGAGCAGTGGTCTCATAATCCGGCAACCTGGGTTCGAAACCAAGGCGATGTGCTAGTGTCCTTTGGTAAGGCATTAATCCTTAATACAAGGTCTTTCGGAGAGGACCCAAAGCTATCGATCCTCTGGTTGCTTACTAACAAGCATTTATGCTTTTTTAGCAGTCAGGTAAAATAACCACCGCTACACTACACACTTACCATAGTTATCATTAGGACATGACTTGTCAGGTGAGAATGGTGTTGTTTGATTGATCATAGACATTGGGTCCGAGTGGTCCACCATGATACCATTAACCTTCTTAGAATCCAACAGTCTCTGCACATTATCTCTGAAAATAAACAATTAAAGTTTCATCTCTAATTAGGTATTTGTAGATGGTTGGGTTAAAAAATTGATAGAAGATGAGCGAAAAGAGGTGTAAAGTGTATTCATTGAATATCATGTGAAATCGGGACATGTTGTATAGCATGTGGACCATAGTGTGGTATCTATCACCGTCCTTTCACGGTTTCTGCATGATCCACCATGATACCGTTCTCTGAAAATGAACAAGGAATAAATCAGTGTTTTCTTTATCTGATGGTGTTTGATGGGACCTGTTTGCTATCAACAAGTTACAATTCTTTATATAAGTTAAACGGAAATCATAGCATTCATGGCTCTGAGTGAATTTGTTATGGAATTGTTGGAACTGTTATGTTGTAGGAGTCAACCTCACATGTTCCCTGAATATACCGTAAACAAGAAATAAATTACAATTTCTTCTCTGATTAGGTATTTGTAGACGGTCGGATTAAAAAAATTGAATAGAAGATGAGTGAAAAAGAGGTGTAACTAGTCGATGTATAGTGCATTCATGGAATATCATGTGAAATCAGGAAATTTGATGGCAAATTGGGTAACGCCTGGCTGGAATGCTCCCCAGGGAGTGGAGATTGTGCACACAGTGTGTGGGGGCAAGTATTGAATCCAATGACTGGGGTAACAGTATATCTGTAAAGCGCTTAGAGACATCATAGATGTATTAAATGCTATATAAAAGCAGAATTATTATTATTATCTTTCACTGTTTATTCATTGATATTGGGTTTGAAATATCCTACATGATATCGTTTTCTGAAATACAATAAATCACGTAAAACCAGGGACCCGTTTCACAAAGCCTTTTTTCAATGACAAATGACTAAAATGATAAAATCAGTGACAAATCTGCTGATAACCAATCAGAATCAAGGATTTCAGTAGCTTATAACAAAAACTGCCATTTGTCACTGATGACAAGTTTTGTGAAACCAGGGCCATTGATAGAACAAAGAGTGTCTTCCACTTACAATGTAAACATTTGAGGTGACATCACTGCTATGTATGGAGAGTAGGTACCAGTATTAAGCAACCAGTCCAGATCAGCTACTTTCTCTATGAGGTGAAGCACTCCATTGTTCCCATTGAATTCACCTGTAATAGAGAAAGGATGACATCAAACGATAATAGAGCGCTTTTGCAACACGGGAGAATTACAGCGATACAGCTCTTCCGTCCTGTTTAGGGAACAAATGCTTTAATGGCCCTGTACAGGCGTGAAAATCAACAGGACGGAGAAAATTCTGGTTCGCCCATGCGCAGATTGTTTTTTTGCTCGCGTTACCGTCGTCTTTGCCTTCTGTCGTGTTTGCGAAAACGCGCTAATGATAGGATGAATTGAAAACGGTATTGTAAAGACACAACTGCTCAAATATGTTATGTGCATGGCTATACAGTGTGTCCCAGAAAAAACAAAACGAAGAGAGAAGACGAAAGACTTGATGCATGGCTGATCGTCAACAAAACGGAGTTAAGTCTTTCGTCAACTCCGTTTGTTGCTATAAGGCAGGCAGCCAGTGAAAAACAAATTTGTTTAACCAAATTATGGAAATGCAAGCATTACTTTAAACAAACAGAACTGTGTTATTCCTGGCTCATTATTCCTGGCTCATTTTTCCTGATCGAGGTGTCGTATGAAAGGGCAGAAAATGAACTTTCTAGAAATGTGATTTTCTCTTTGAAATTCAGATATCACCCGCTAAAAAACTTTTTGGTACCCTCTCTTCGAATTGTTTTTAATCAATCATGCATGAAAAATGCATCATATAAGTTGTATCAAATGAAAAAGGAGGATCTAAGCTTTACAAATATGTGTCATTTATTAATTATAATTGTGATTAAGTTATGATAAAACATCAATAATTTTCGATTTCGTTTTTTCTGGGACGCACTGAACATTACAATATTAAAAGGCAATTTAACATTCAACAACTTGAATTGGCTGATAACAGATACATTACAGATACAGGTTGGTGGCAGACCGAAATATATTTGACAAAATAATATACATGTATTGCATGAACATTTTAAAGTTTAGACATGGAGGTCATTACATTGCATGTACATTTACTTCAATCTCATATTGACTGATCTGTTATTACAATGTAACTTATAATGTGCTCAGGGACAAATCTCCAATTTGCTGTCATCTAAAATATCAAATATTTCCACTCCTCTCCCGAGTTCACTTTCCCTCTACATCATTAATCAAAACATTCTATAGATTGCATTGTTGTATGCCCTCTAAAAATCAAAAGGGCCTACTCAGTGTAACCAAATTTAATTCATAAGTCTTTGTGAAGTACCTTAATACAATTTATTTCATTCACCTGATAAGAATAATAGTTTTTCAATAGTCAGAATGCAAACTGCATATATTAAGTGTTGCTAGGTACATGTAGGTCAAGACATAGGCTCAAATTCACAAAGGAGGTTTTCGTACATCGCGGTTTTTTTAAACCAAGGTTTGTCAACAAACCTCCTTTGTGAATTCGGGCTATAGAGTTTGTCCTACCTGGCAACAACTAATGTATGCAGTTCAGATTCTGTCTATTGAAATACTATTATTCTTACCAGGTGATTGAAATAGTTTGTATCGAGGCAATTCACAAAGACTTGTGCATTCAATTTGGTTACATTACGAAAATGGCCTATTGTAAACATCAGAAAAAAGATGTTTTAACCATTTTGTGTGATGATGAATTGAATGGGGGAGTTGTAAAAAAAAAGGGGTACTTCCAAGCAAAAGGCCTGTAGATATACTTACTGGTGCATCCAATCTGATGAGTGGCATTGAATCTCCTTACACAGGGACCAAAGTTCTTGATATCATAATAGATCATATTATGGGTTTTTCTGCTCGTTGTTTGTTGAGCGCCATGGATATGGTCAACAACTGTTGGGAGAAAAGAGAATTGATAACATGAGCAGAGCTGCGAAGTTGCGATTCATACGCTGGTCAAAGCAGGCTGCAGATACAAACCCTGTATCTAGAGAGCAAGACGTTTTGTGTGTGAACGGAAATACATCCTTAACTAGACCTGGCACTGCTCTTTAAATGCTCAGTAGGGCCATTGCGCATTTACCAATGTACTGCTCGTAAATGCGCAATGGCCCTACTGAGCGTGTGAATCTCGAACGACCGCACCGAAATTTTCTGTGTTAATGATGTTGTATCTAAAGATGATTAGTTTAAAGCTCTTTAAACTAATCAGCTTTAAAGGGATCGTTTAACAATGTTAAATCTGAGATACACGACCCTACGTGTTATCAGTGTCTGTGATATGGTGTAATATTGACCCTTACCGAAAAGGCAGGCCTGCTTATAGCCTGCATCAAGCCTGCATAGCTGCTAAAAAGCAGGCTAATTCCTTAGCAAGCACTGACCTGCAAAAACGCCGAAATATGCAAATTAGGCAGGCTTAATTTAGCCTGTACATTTTAAAAGCAGGCTTATTTTAGCCTGCAAAATCATATTAACCTGGCTCAATTAGCCTGCAAAATTGCCCTGCTTTTTTAGTAAGCAAATTAACCTGCTTTGTTAGCCTGCAAAAACGCTGAAATATGTAAGTTAATTGCAGGTTAATTTCAGCATGCTAATCTAAAATGCAGGCTAACAAAAATGAAGATATTCGATTAATTGCCATCACTATCGGTACAAGACTTCTATTGGTATATCGACTCAGGTAGAGGAACGAGGGATAAATTGATACATCATAATCAATATTTGCAAGTGTCCACCAATAGGAATATTCTAACCTCAATTGCATTAGACTAACTCCATCACAAAGATCATTTGAAGTTAATACAAGATTGACTTTTGTAAAGGTACAGGCTCATACACCTATATATAGAAAACATACATGCTATTTGAATTGGTTAGTATTCGTATAATCAATATATCTATTGCTAAAACGTGAATGTAAGTGTGATCAGACAAATAATCTATTGGTCAATAATTTCCAAAGAAAAATACAATCACAAAATTGATATGTGCATTAATTGTCATAATTTGCTTAACAATTAATCATGATAAATGTATTTTTCTGTGAGACGTGTAAAGTAATAATGAATATTCATGAGATACTAGGCCTGAGTCATGTCGGGATTTTCATAAACCGGGTCCCGACGGCCTTGCACCGATCGGGACCCGGTGTCCCGAAATCAGCTCGCAGGATTTGTCACTTGCCTCTATTAAAAGCGCATATCATCAGTATGTCCCTTAAAAGTGACCTTTTTTATCAGTCAAATAAATCAACACATGCATACCTCGGCACAGATTGGTATATTCTTCCATTTGACAATATTTTCATCCATGATTGGCGATGTTTAGTGCCATTATCGTGCCTCTAAAAGTTTAAAAAAACTCGAGCAAAAATATAAAGACAACATTCGTGACAACATTCGAGCCGCCATTTTGATTCATGCAGGTTGAATAAATCAGCTCAAAAATATGAATGTTAGAATAATAAAACGGCTTTCTAAAAACTTCTTCTTTACAACATACCGATCAAATAAATTTTTTAAGACTAATAAATATTTATCTCTTATTTTAAACATCGCATGCTTTTTTTTTTAAAGCTGAAAATTACTTGGTAATCACAAGAAGTTTCGATATGGATAGCTGTTGCAAGGCAAGTTCAGACTAGTCACGGAAAATGCGCAGTGCACCTCTTAGCTGTAATGCGTGCCAGACCGAACCAAAACAAATATACTTGATCGTAACAAGAAAATAAGAAATCATTCAAAACTACGAGAGCACAATTGGAAAGAGAACTACTGCTCAAAATTACCATAATCAGATACATTACTTGGACAAAGAATTCAGTAATCGCCCAAGAAATGCCACAGAAATTGTGATAATCGAGGAGTAACTGGGTACATTTTTATCGCATTGGGCCTGCTGCAAATACTCGAACCCTTTGTTATACTGCTTTTACCGTAGAGGGCGGTATTTGTTTTCTAGCCTCGTGTTCAGTTTAAACACGTGTAGATCGGAGCTGCAGGCCCATTCTGATAATAATTGTACCTATAGTAGCTCCTTAAATATCACTATTTCTGATGCTTTTCTTGGACAACTATTGTACTCTTCCTCCAAGTTATGTATCTGCTTACGATAATTTTGAGTAGTTGTCTTTCCAATTGTGCTCTCGTAGTTTTTAATGATTTTTTTTCGTTACGATCACGTCTTTGTTTAGGTTCGTTCTGGCACGCATTACAGCTAACGATGAGCACTGCGCATTTTTTCGAGACTAGTCTGAACTTGCCTTGCAACAGCTATCCGTATCGAAACTTCTTGTGATTAGCAAGTAATTTTCAGCTTTTAAAAGAAGCATGCGGTGTTCAAAATCAAAGAAAAAATATCTATTTCGTCTTTTAAAAATTATTCGATCGGTATGTTGTAAAGAAGTACTTTTTAGAAAGCCGTTTTATTATTCAAACATTAATGTTTCTTTCAACCTGATTCATTAATCCTGCCGAGAGACCCGGCCAGTACAGTAGCTGGCTAGCAGCTGGCAACAACAACCCCATGGGGCGAACTGCTTTGCAACCCATATTTATATCAGCAGTTCAGGATTGATTGATTCAGGATGAGCTAGAATATGATTGGTAACAATTAAATACTTAAGTTTTAAGGTGGATTGATTTTAGTGGTGTGCAAAACTGCAATTTCTTACATATTTCATTATTTTTTTCGGAGCGTCGGTTCTCAAAAAACGAAACCGGGACCCGACGGCAACGGTCGGGTCCCGGTGTGATCGACCGTACCGACTCAAGCCTAAGTATTGCAGGTTAATTTTAGCATGCTAATCGAAAAGGCAGGCTAACATAAATGAAGGTTTCTATAGGTTTCTATTGGTCCCATATTGGGTTCAATTAGTCTTATTGGTTTATATTGGTCCTATTGTTCCTATTGGTAGATCTATTGGTCTTATTAGTTTCAATTGGACCAATTGGCCCCATTTAACTCTAATCGGGATTTCAATTGGTTTCAATTGGACCAATTGGCCCCATAAGTTATTTCAAATGGTTTCAATTGGACCAATCATCCCCATAGACTTAAATGGGACTTCAATTGGACCAATCAGCCCCATAGACTGTAAGGTTTTCAATTGGGTTCAAATATATCTTTTCTTCATATAAGTTGCAATTCAATTACGATATTTAATAAACACAAGACTATATCAATGTTATAACTATGGCCTAAAAACATTGCTCTCTCTTTAGGCTCCATCATATTTCTTCCTTTATTTAACTTAGTCTTATGTATTATTCTGTTCGTTTGTATACATGCATCCCCCCAAAAAAATTATTACAAAAAATGTAACATATGCCAAATGTAATGAAATAAACATGTGTAATATGAAAATAAAATGAAATTGAAACTGAATTGGACCAATTGAAGTCCAAAATAGGGCCAATTGGTCCAATTGAAACCAATTGAGTTCCCATTAAAGTCTAATAGGGCCTAGGCCAATTGGTCCAATAGGGCCAATCTGGACCAATTGAAACCAACTGAAGTCCTATTAAAGTCCCATTGAGACCAATTAAAACCAACTGAAAAAATGAAAATTAAATTGGTGTTCAATTGGTTTCAACTGGATTTTTGTCTTGGGATGCCTCCCCAAGCGCTCGAAACCTTGCTTGCTCGGCTTTCTATGAACCTATTTTTGTTTCAACTCTCAAATCACCCCTGATATATAACATTAAACGTGCATGTGAAAAATAACCTGTAAAAAGCAATAACAGGTTAAATTTGTGTTCTAAACCTGCTCAGAGGACATTTCTTCAGATTGCAGGTTTAACAAATTATGATAGAAATTTACATGCTAAAGATTAAACTGCATCTCATCTGGCATGCTAAAGATTTAACCTGCTAAAACTGTATTTTGCAAAATGCATGCTAATTTTAAACTGCAGGCTGAGATTTAGCCTGCTAAAAACTGTTAGACTGTGTTTTGCAAGATGCATGCTAATAACAGGCTAAAATTTAACCTGCTAAAACATGTAAGACTGATTTTGCAAAATGCAGGCTAAAATTTAACCTGCTAAAACATTTAAGACTGATTTTGCAAAATACAGGCTAAAATTTAACATGCAATAGAATAATTAGCATGTATTTAAGAATGCAGGCCAGACGCAGGTTCAAAGCAGGCTAAATAAGCCTGCGTTTTCGGTAAGGGGAAGCCCTAAAAAAATTGCGCTTCAAAATGATCAAGAAGTGCCTCAAAAAAGTAAAAATCTTTGAGTGACCGGTTTTACCATACTCGTTTCCCCCAATAGACTGCAGTATAATGAAAACTGTCAGGCGAACGGTTTTCAAAATTTGTAATTCCAATCATAAATATCTTGATAATCAGACAGGCGATCGGCTTGCAAAAGTCATGGGGTTCCTGACTGACCTAAAGTTTTATAATTATCATTGCATCATGAGCTAAATCCAGAATTTTATTTCAGAATCTGAGACAAAGTTACCGGATCCCTTTAAAGAATTTAATCCCTGTGTTTTTCATGACTGATAGAAAACATCTTGAACTTGACGTTTTTCTTCTTCCTCAAGTACTACCCCTCTTAATCTACATTTCTTTCTTTTTATTTTAACTCAAACTTCAGGCTTAGCTCATTTTTGTGTTACGTTCCCTTGGCAGTAGGGGCCCTGGACCAAGAATAAGGATCGTCTGCATAAACAAGGACAGATTCGTCCTCAAAAATCAGGATCGTCTGCATTTTCGCAGATATTTCATATTTTTGATCAGCGTGTTGCGTTGGCAATGCGAAAAACGCATTCTGCAATGATTTTCTTGATGCCTTTTACATTGACTTTGTAGTTGTACAGAGACTTTTACATTATGAGCGATAAATCCTTGACCTTGGGAAGACGGACAACTCATAAAAGTAGACGGTGAACAGTCTAGGGTTATTTTCTTACGCGGAATCCATTTTTGCATCACCAGTGGACGGTTCGGTAACCCGAAACCTGCAGAGCGCTGATGAAGGAAAAAACGTCCGTGAAAATGCCAACGATCCTTATTTTTTAGGACGCATTTTGTCTGCGTTTATGAGGACAATCCTCATTCTCGTACCAGCGCCCCTTCACTAGCTTCGAAGTCGCAGCAGAAGTCTTCTCAATTTCAATTTGAAATAATCTACTGTAAATCTAAGATAATGTAGAACAAACAGACAAACAAAAAGGGCTAGGGCCTACATACATCACGTTTTGCGACAAAGATTATCATGATCAAAAGCATCTGTACGCGTGGGCCTACATGTAATGTAATGGTGTATCCAAGTGCAAGTTGCACATGCATGCAGCTGCATAAACTATAGCGTTGGCATAGCCGTGGCGTTTGGCAATGGCAGCAATAGGCGATCTGTGTTGAACGAATGAAACATGATTCGCTCGCGCTCCTGCTCATCGACACAAATTTAAGACTAGAACTACACGAAATTCGCATCAATAACAAATAGATAAGGAGTGTCATTCAGAACTTAGCCATCTAGACATATTTCACCTCAAAAGACTTACCAGAAAGGACGACAAGAAGGGTAAATATTAATGACCGGATATGAGTTTCAAGTGCCATGATAGTTGCCATTTTGGATAGACTCGTTGTAAGTTTTGTTGTCATCATCTTAACTCACTTCCGGGTAAGCAGGCTCGCCGTACTCGTGGGGGGGGGGGGGGGGGGGGTACTCAGACTTGGTTTGGACGGAGTGTGCCGCTCAAGCTTTGAAACTCCTTCACAATTGGGGGCATTTTTCTCGAAAACAAGACGAATTTTTCACAATTTTGGGGTGTTTTTCGGGTGTTTTGCAAATTTTGGAAATTTTGAAAATACGGAATCATTTTTAATCGTATTTTTGTTAAAAGTAGGAGTCCAAGAGTGTATCCGTGGTTCGGGGGGGGGGGGGGGGGGGGGGGTGATAGGTGCCGAAATATTTTCGGCAATGGATCAAAGCAACCAAGAGGTAGAAGCATGTGGCAAGTCGCAATTAAAACGTAAAAATTATATCACCAGAAATGATTCAGATTCAGCAGATTCAGATTTTATTTCCGTTTCAAAACAAACAAAATATAAACAGACATAATATAATACAGTCAAATATAATATAAACAAAGTAAATTCAGTATTATGTAGAACAAAATTTAGTTGATAAGATATATTGGGAAAAAACAGTACTGAACAATAGAAAAAAAAATGACCTTGATGAAGTAATTCAAAACGGAGGGGCTTGCTAAAAAAGCAGAGCTTGTATGAGGCAAGCCCCTGACTTAGTTACATGGATACGCTTAAATAATTATTGATAACGTGCATTACCTTTTTGTTTTTGCTATGTTTGATTATTCAACAAAAATGTCAGCATTTCACATTCTCTCCCTCCCGGCCCCCCCCCCCCCTCCTCTCTTCTATTTTTCTTTTTCTTTACACCAATACCATTTCCCCTATACAGGCGCGTAGCCACGGGGGGGGGGGGGGGGGGGGGGGGGGGGGGGGGGGGGGGGGGGGGGGGGGGGGCACGTGCCCCCTCATTTCTAGGATCGGTTGAACTTTTTTTTTACCTCGATCGATTACATGTATGTGCCCCCCCCCCCCCCCAACGTCGAACTTTGTATATATTTTCATCCTCTCCTTTTCAAATTTCAAGCTATCCCTTTTGTAAATATTTCCCCCATATTTAATCATGTGTAGTTTTGATAACTTTGAAACATTTTAAAAGGTGAAACTTTGATGGATTATGTTATATGGGGACCTTGCTCTTACAAGCCCAGCATTTCTATAGGTCTCCACTTTCTTTCATTTGGATTATATATCGACTTAAAATTGCACTTAAATTGTTTTTTCTTATGCTTTTTTTTGTTCTATTATTATATGTAAAAATGTTGTGAAAGAAATTAAAAAAAATGAACCTTGAACCTTGAACCTTGAAGTTATTAACTTTTTCAAGTCACCCTCAATAAAGATAGCATTTCAGATAATATAAGAGTGGTAATAAAATTAATAACATGCTAAATGTTAGTCCTGACTCTTGCCTGCAGTGTAGGCCTACCAGACTGATATCATCTATTCTTAAACGAAATTTAGACATTACCACAAAAAAATCCAATGGTGAGGGATATAAACTTGTGAAAGTATTATGTTATCAGTGGGCGAATGCATTATTAAGCAACCAGGAAAGGTTCATGTAGACAGAAAATTCTTTTTTTTCTGGTGATAGAAACATACACTTTATAAATATTGATGTCTCCAAACAACATTCATCGTGAAAAACCCATTCCAATATCTGTGTAAGGAGATCTAAAAAAAAACATAGTTCTCATTAGTAACTAAAAAACATATTGCTTTTGGTTCTTCATTTGACTCTCTTCCTTCTTTAATTAAACCAACTGAGAGCTCTCTGCGGGAAACTCAATTAAAATAAACAGAATATCACTGATGCAAAATTTGGTTCTCAAAATGACAGAAAATTTCCACTCCTGATCTCATACAAACTGTCTGTTTCAGGGGCGGCCGAGCGACTGCCAAAGTGGGGGAGGGGCACCAAGAATAAAGGGCACCTACAAAGGGAAATCTCTAAGCGAAAATATGCAATTTTTTAGACATTGGTATATACCCTTACATTGGGATTACAATATTTGCTTCACTTTATACACAGGCAAAAAATTAATATTTATTTTTCGGGGGCTACTTTTCAAGCTTGCCTGCATGAAAATACCATTCTAAAATTTGTTTTGCATTGAACTCTATGCAAATTTACAGGGGCTCTTTTCTGATTTTCGGGGGCTCTTTTAGGCATTTCGGGGGCTAATTCGCCCCGAGCCCCCGTGTATTTTTTTCACTGTTTATACACCATTGCTTAATCATCATGCTTTGCAGTTGGGTGTGATGGTCTTGAGATTTGTGAAGTCGCAGTGCGAAAAATACAAAGAATAATTGTCAGAGGTGAAAATAGGGCACTTCTTACACCTTCAAAAAGAGGCACTCACCAGGGAAGACAAAAATCAGCCATGAAAATAGGGAATGGGCATTTGTCGACCGAAAATTTTGATAGGGACATTTATAAAAGGTGAAAAGGGGCATTTGTGAAAAGAGAATAGGTCCCCTATTAGAAACGAAAGTGGACACGTATCATTGTTAAATGGAAAATTATCAGAGGTGAAAAGAGGCACTTATCGCACCTGAAAAGGGGCATTGACCACATATGAAAAGGGCCACTTATGTGAATGAAAAAGGGGCACTAAGAAAAATGTTCACTAGTTGAAAGAAAATGATTTTAAAGGGGCATTTATAGGAGGTGAAGGGGGCACTTATCTGAAGTGAAAAAGGGTAACTTCCCGTGCCTGAACAGAGATGAAAAGGGACACTTTTCATAGGGGCCTTTAATTATGAGAAGGGGAGAGGGTCTCTTTTTGTTAATGGTGGCACTTATCATATATAAGCTAGGAAAAGGGGCAATTATTAGAAAGGAAAAGGCCGGGGCACACGTGAAAATAAAAGGTGCGACTAATTATCCGAGTTAAAAAAATGGGTAGTTATTAATCATAGAGGAAGGGCAGAGGTGAAGGGGCCACTAATCAAAATTTAAAAGGGGCCCTTCTCGTACCTGCAAAGGGGCACTTAGGCACTTAGGCCTACTATAGAGATTATTATATCCTGCATCAAAAATTTGTTGGCTTTTGATTGGTTGAGAGCTCGTCACATGACCAGAAATATTTGACCTATTTTTAGAAAGTACTATATGAGAGTACTATTTTGGTTTATTATTTGGGAGTTGAAAAAAAATGTGATTTTTTTTTTTTTTGAATTGAATCAATTTTTTTTTTCAAATCTTAATTTAATGAAACAAAATATTTTAAATGTTTTTAGATAAAAATTGACATTTTTGGGGTTCTAAATTTTTTTCTTCCAAAAAATGTTTTTTTTTTTTTTTTTTTTTTTTTTTTTAAATAAATTTTTGATGCAAGATATAAAACAAATATACAATGCCTTCTATTCGAGGTACTGGTTAAACTATGGGCCTCGGTGACTCCAAAAGTACCATTTGCTTCGGGGCTGCACCCCTCAGCAAATAGTACTATTGGAGTCACCTCTTGCGCATAGTTTTAACCAGAACCTCTCAAGGCAGTGTATATTTGTATACTATAGAGTATAGGGAATATGGAAAATGGACACAATTGTTGCAAAGGGAACTTGTCGAAGGAAAAGGAGCACGTGTCAAAATAAAAGGAGAACTTATTAGAGGTGAAAAGGGTAGGGCGCTTTTTACAAAGTAATAGGGACACATTACCTTTGTAAAAAGGGTCACTTCTTATTTCTTACAAATTTAAAGGGAACTTTACCTATGTAAAAACACTTTGGGGTACGAGAAAAACTGCCCCCCCCCCCCGGCCCCCCCCCCCGGAAGGCAACCTCTGATTGAGCCAATTAAAGGCCCAGAACCGCTAGCGCTAGAGTAATTATACTAAGCTAAAAAGGGACAATGAGAAAAGATGATATTTATTCAAGAGCTTTTGTTCTTTGTCTGCATGTGCACGTTTACGAAGTTGCGTTGCATGGATCGAATCTATCGGATTATTATAGCTGTTCACTTTACGTCTGAATTGTAAGACTAGACTATATATTCAAGATGGCAGCGCCATGTGGGCAGTCACAGTACGGTGTAGAAATACATTTTGCTCAAAGATTGGCATCGAATGTAACAAAAATACGTGACAGGGCAGTAAAACGGTTAAGACACTGGATAGCTGCAAGATCGCAAAAGGATGGAAGTAAGTATCGAGTGTTTGAAGGTTATTTTATCAAATAGATAATGGACACGATTTCTTACACAGTCCCATTCATGCTTTTTCATGTAGGTGGATGCACACATAGCAGCAATAGTATAGACCCTAGTTCTTGTGTATTAAAAACTGTTTAGACGACCTCTTTTGATTCTCAAAATTTGAAACACCATTGTACAATACCAAGCGCTAATTCAGAATCTTAGTTATCACATCAATGCTTTTCACAAAGTAGTAGGGTGTCTGATCGCGCACCCAATGTTGTGTGCTAAAACCCTTCCCATAGATTGTACGCTTCCCTATGTGGTCTACGTGCATTGCGCGACCATCCAAAATTGGTCAATGATTTTATGAAAAAATTTGAAATTCAAACCTTTATAACAAATGATCCTGAAGGTGAAACTCAATAAATGAGGTGTCATATGAAAGAGCAGGTTTTTCTCCATATTCCCCATCGGGGGCCACCCCCAGAATTCTAAAAATATCTTGGTCAAAATAGCGATTGAAATGTTGTTTGCATCCTAGCTCCAAAATTTGCCACTTTCCTGAGCTGCCGCCCCGCGGCTTAAGCAGGGCTAGACGTAAGGATAATATCCAGATGCTTTTTTTTTTGCTAGCCCCAAGGGATCATTTGTTATAACAGTTTGAAAATACCCTCCCACATTTTTGGAATCAGCTAATTAGGGAGGCGTGAGCTCCGCTCAGTCCAAACCATGGTTACATCGCGTAACATGTGCGCTTATAGTGAATGAAAGTATGGATGGCCGTTCCCACTATAAACCCCGGAAGTGAATACACGTTGTAGTCAATGGCAATATCGCGGAGACATCTCCGCGATATTGCCATTGACTATAACGTGCATTCACTTCCGGGTTTTTTGTGCGACGAACGCTAACCATACTAGTCAATGGCACGTGTCGCGGAGACAGCGTAGCTCAAGCTTGCAAGTCGCGCATTGGCTGAGCAACTTGCGTACGATATGCATACGCTTGCATATCGCGCGATACAGCTGTTTGGCTAAATTTAGCAAAACAACATAACTCTGCGTGTACGTCTTTTTCGTCGATTCTGAGCAAAATGCTATGAATATTTCAGCGTTTTGAAGGGGCTGTATCTTTTGATAGAAACATCGGCGAGACTTGAAATTTGAAATGTATTATTCTGATTACATTTTTAATTCAAATATCAAACAAAAATGGTGAAAAACGATCCCAAATTGAAAATTGAAAAATCGTTCAGACACCCTAAAAGTAGGTCTAGTGAGTAAAATATGAAATTCACTGAAAATTGTAGACTCTAGTGGCATTTGCATGAATACACAAATAGACATGATAGATCTAGACACAATGGTGATGACCTCTGACTGGCACTTCCGTGATTGTGCTGCTTCCGTATAATGCGCTGTATAAGTGTTATTTAGCGCATTATACGGAAGCAGCTAGCACATTTACGAAGTGCCAGTCAGAGGTCATCACCATTGTGTAGAGATCGTGAATTCACACGGTACACGTGAAAAGGGAGCTGAGCTGTACCGGTCTGGTAAGAAAATTGCTATTATTTCCTTATCTTTACCTCCAATTTTTAAATTCAGGATGTAATTACGATTAAAGCTAACATAAAATTCATCAAAGCCACTGTCCAATATTGGTCGGGTGCGGGAAAGTGTGATTTTGGACACATTTGAGATATTGTTTACCTACCTCTCCGTGCAGTAGTATGGGAGGCGGTCAACGCATTGACATTCAGTGTTTTATCGCGCAATTGTGTGAAAATAGTGCGCAAATACGCTTCGCTCCTTGGCGACGGAGATACCACGCACAAATTGCGTGACCGAATTCTATTCGGCGCGACCGAATTCTGGGCAGAAAAATGCTCCGTTTTCTTTCGGAAGTATTTTGCTTATTATTCTATATTTTAAGTGACTTGAAAATCCTGTAAGAGGAATAAATTTCTTTTCTTTTGATGGGTAGATTGCCAAATAAAAGAGGTAAGAATTCAAAATATTAGCAATTTCCCCTTAAGTGACCGAATACTGGGCACTCTACCCTATGGCATAACTCTGGCGTGGAGATACCCTAGCTAGCCTAGCACGTCACGATTTAAAAATGTTTATGTTTTTTACCTGCTTCGTGTCAATTTTGCATATTCACCTGTTCTACACATGTTTACATAATAACAGTGAAGGGATGTTCCTTTGTCTAACATAGCAATTGTTGAGGGTAGAATGAGGAACTGTATATTCTGTCCGCTTTCTTTGTCCATCATGTTCATAGTGCTAGGATCAAGACCCTACCCCCTAGGTCTAGATCTATAAGTATTTGTGATTTTTACATTTGTGTTGGTTGTTTAAACAAGTTTACCCTTGTCCCCCTCCTCGGTAATCTTAAAATCCAACCATCTTAATCTATTTATATGTTCTTTTCAGATATTGGCAATGAGGAATTGATGAAGCTATGGAAAGGTCTCTTCTACTGTATGTGGATGTGTGACAAACCAGTCATCCAAGAGGAGCTAGCAGATCAAATATCAGATATGGCCCACTGCTTCAGACGGCCAGAAGAAGGTAAAGGTCAAAGGTCGAATTGTTGTCCCTCAGGCAGAAGGTTGTTAGTCCGTGTGCGTGCCACAAAGCAAATTTCCAATAATTATAAAAAAAAAAATGTTTTAGCCCTCCATAGGCTATTTTATTGAATCAAACAAACATTTTTACAATTCAATGAAATTAAGTTGTTCCTTAACTCAAACAAAACATAATACTTCCAACATTTCTCTCCTTGTTGTTCATACAAACAAATGTTGAAGTGACTGCCATTTAGTATTTCCAATAATCACTACCAAGGGTTTGACTGCGCTGTCTGTAGTCTGTACTTGTCCTATTATTTTTAAACATGAGAGGGATTTCTCATTTTATTAGCTAATAAAGAAGAGAAAATATACAGAGCTGCCAAGTCTCCCGGATCCTGCGGGAGACTCCCGGATTTTGACCCAATATCCCGTTTTCCTGACCCCATGCAAAAATCTCCCGGATTTCCAGATTTTAAGTTGTATTATTTTCATAAACGACTGTTTCACAAGACTAGCATGTTGAGTTCGTACGTACGTATACAAACACACGGCAATTCTGTAATATGAATTTTCCTGTTATCCAGTCGTCGAATATAAATTTACCGTGATATCGTACTTTATTTAACAGCGTAATAAATGAGAGTTACGCCGAACGACTGGCGGGCTAATCTAACAAACCATTGGGAACATGTGATAATGTGAGTGGTGTTTGTGTGATAGCAATTCGCCTGCTTGCTCTGCCGGGCGGCTTCCTCGCGGGCCCCCGTAGCGTCCCGGTACGTTGGTGCCGGTTTCCGATCGGTCGCGTCAGAGCAGCCAGAAGTTGCACTGATACAACAAGCAGACTTTGTCTGCTGCGATCGGCCCAAAAAACTGCACATTTCAACATCAGTTTTTGGATTGATTTGGGGACTTTTGCGATGTGATTTTTAAGTGGATTATCATTTGATACCAACATGGCAGTGTTACTGCAGAGTGGATTTTGAAGCCGACTTTTTTTTTCTGATCTCCTTTGCCGTTGGGAACGCATCGATATAACTTGCATCTTCCGAAGGCGTAAGTCAACTTTGTCCAAAACAAGGCTGTATTTTGCTCTCTGTTTGAGTATTAAAATATCATCCAGGACAATGTCGAAGTCGAAATATTATCAGAAATATAAAGATGACTACCACTTGGAATGGCCTTGTGTTGGGAAATCTACGAAAGGCGAATACTACGCATTTTGTACAGTTTGCGGCGCAGATATCTCCATCAAGAGTGGGGGAAGAAATGATGTATTTCGCCACATCACATCTGACAAACACAAGCAAACCGCGAAAGCAAGGGGCAATACAAAAGGAATACAGAGCTTTTTCAGGTTAGTATGAACAGTTCTTAGATTTGTAAAATCGAGAAATAGTCTACCCCTCTATACCATAGACCTGAGTTCATTTCGTCAGTAGTTGGGGACCTCATTAATCTCCCTAAAACTTAGACTTACTCATAAACACGTGTGCGGGACTTGAAGGGTGGATTTTCTCACGATTTTATGTTTTTATTTGAAATACTAATCTGCACGTTGACTGTTTTATGCCAGTATCATGAACTTTAATAGTTTGTTAGGTTACACACATTGCAAGACAATAGCATCATTTTTATGAATTGCTTCGATCCTTAGTTTTGAAAATTCGAATTTGACCGTTAAATCGTATTTAGCGCCCTCTCTCGGTAACAATGATGTTTTGTTAATTATCTGGCATATGCAAGGTTATTTAAAAGATTTGACCACAGAATGATAAAAAAGAATAAATTCTACAGAGAGAAGAACCCTGCATTCACATTCTTAATAAGCAGCTTAATAAAACCTTCCAAGATATGCTTGTTAGATTCGTGCAGCCAACAGTGATTGTTGAATGTTCTGATGTCAAGAAAGTGCAGTATGGTAAGAGAGATTGCCAGAAGTCAGATAAAGATCTAATGATTGGAAAAGATGCCAAGGAATACCTGGAGAGTACAACAAGCCCAGAAGATGATTCTCCCCTTCGTCTTACAGATGCTGATTTGACATACTTCTACTTGTCGGTGAGGAAGTATTATGAATCAGCATGTGACTATGCCTTGAAAACCTGGCCACTAGATGTTAAGTTCCTTAAGGAGGCTGAAGTGATTGATGTCAGTTCCAGAAGAGATGTGTCATTTTCATCTGTGCAATACTTTGTTGAAAAGTACCCTTGCATTTTGAACAGACAATCAGAGAATGGAGACCTGGACAAGCTTGAGCTGGAATTTGCACAATACCAGGTTGAAGACTTTTCAGGGGAACCAGAGATCCTGAACAAAAACTTGAGAATAGACAAGAAATGGTCTGCAATTTCAAAGATGGAGGATGGCAATGGCTCAAAGAAATACACACTTCTGAGCAAAGTGATGAAATCTTTGCTTGTGATACCACATTCCAATGCTTCATGTGAAAGAGTTTTTAGCATTGTTAGGAAGAACAAAACTGATTTCAGGGGATCAATGAATTTGAAAACACTTCAAGCACTCCTAACAGAGAAAATTGCCAACACAGATGTCCCATGCTACCAAAGGGAGTATAGCAAGGACCTCCTTAGCAAACTCAAGCAAGCAACCTACCAGTCACTTCAAGGAAAACCCTCAAGCACACCCCAGTCCTTGCCTTCCACAAGTACATCCCCCATTTCACAATAGAGGTAACAGGAGTTCATAGTCTGAAATATGATGTGAAGTTCATATGTTATCAATTGTATGCAAATAAAATGTGCCATATCAAAGCCTTCCATTTTGAGAAATCATTGAAAAAATGTGTTCTAAAAGGGTTTCAAAGAGGCTTAAAACCAAGAGCTTTTGGGGGCCTGCCCCCTGCCCCCCCCCCCACCAGGGGGACTAAAAGGCCATTCTTGGTTCCCGCCAACAATGAAGTCGTTCGATGCTGCTCTCTCAGAAATCTCCCTGATTACCCAAATCAAATGTTGGCAGCTCTGAATATAATGTACCTCTCAAATTTCAGTAGACTTGTACCATGAAGTAATAATGACCTTCTGCTTAAAGGCATAGTTTAGCAATTTTAAATCTGAGATGCATGGCCCTACAGTGTCTGTGATATGGTGTAATATTGAAACCCTATAAAAAATTGCGCTTCAAAATGATCATGAAGTGTTTAAAAAAAGTAAAAATCTTTGAATGACCGGTTTTACCATACTCATTTTGCCCAAACTAGTGTTTTAAAAACAGTTAGGAAAACGGAAAAATTAAATTTCGATTTCCAATCATAAATATCTTGATAATCAGACAGGCGATCGGCTTGTAATGGTCATGGGTTCCTGACTGACCTAAAGATTTATAAAATCATTGCAGCATGAGCTAAATCCAGGATTTTGTTTCAGAATCTGAGGCAATGTTACCAAGTCACTTTAAAGTGCCTCGGTAACATTGTCTCATATTTCTTTTGTATTAAACACTTTTATTCATGATACATTTAATGTAAATTATTTACTTGTTTTTCCCATAAGATTATACAGCACCTACTCATGGGACAATTTCCGACACTAACCAAATTTCTAACTTTTACCTTTGACCATTATAATCTCTACATCTTAACCTAACAACCCAATCATAACCATAACCAGAACCCTATATTTATGATGAAATAAAGCCCCGAGCAATTTTTGCGGGACAAAAGTTGCATCATCCTCTATTTGTTAGCTATAATTGAGAATTTTCCCTTGTTTTTCAGCTTGCCTCTTCTTTGAAACATTCCTTGCTACCATGCGGCGTGAGTGGATGGGCATCGATCATCTTCGCATGGACAAGTATCTCATGGTAACAGCATTGAAAACAATTATCCTTACTGTAAAGTACCCATGATACTGTAAGCAAAATAGGAAATGAGATTATATAATAGTAATAGTGAATGAAATAGGACAACTGTTATCACTTTGTTTGGAATTGAATGGTATTGTAAAAGGATGGAATAAAATTGAAAACAAATGATTGGGCAATATAAAACAAAGTGGGAATTTGTAAGCGTCAAGACCTGCCATAAGCTCTGCATCATGTTATTAGTTATTTCAGTTTGGAAATACAGAAACTGCTGCATAATTCACAGAAAGCAGGGGAAATTAAGAACAATAAATATGAAAAGTATGATCTTTTTGTGCAAAGCAAAAGTGGCTATGAAAAGGGAAATGTAAACATACTTGAACACTATAATTATCTTCTAAAAGTTTTGTCTTAATTATTCATCATATATTTTTATCCCAAACATGGACAGCTTATAAGACGCAGTTTCCGTCAGATGCTGGTTGTACTCCACAACAACGAATGGGATGAAGAGTAAGTATTCAGCTCTCACCAAAGATGAGAATACATATTTTTGTTTTTCCAGAAATAATTAGCTTAAAAAGGAGGAAGTTGAATTTACATTTTGAATTCATAAATATTTCAGCAAGGCACGTTTGCCACTCCATACTCAGAAGAAAAATAGGGAACTTGTAGGATGATGGAAGCCTTTGTGTTAGTTTTTATGCCTCCGTTACGAAGTAGCCGGGGGCATTATGTTTTCGGGTTGTCCATACGTCCCTTTCTCGTGATCGTGTTATCTCAAGAACCAATTGATGGATTCCTGCTTAACTTAGGTCATATATGTATCTTGCAAAGCTAATGAGTTGACTAGATTTTGGGGTAACAAGGTCAAAGGTCAAAGGTCACAGTGCTCATTATGTATGCACAAATATTTTGATTAAATGAATTTGTTTTCACTGGCTACCTGCCCTAGCAACAAACCGAGTTGACAACAGACTTAACAGAGTTAAGCCTTTTGTCAACTCTTGTTTGTTAATATGGCAGGCAGGCAGGCAGTGAAAGCAAATTCATTTAATCAATTATTGAAATGCAAGCATTACTTTAAACAAACAGAACTTTGTTATTCCTGGCTCATTTTTCCTGATTAAGGTGGCATATGAATGGGCAGAAAATGAACTTTCAAGAAATGTGATTTTTTCTTTGAAATTCAGATACCACCCGCCAAATGACTTTTTTTGGTACCCTCTCTTCATATTGTTTTAATCACTCATGCATGAAATATGCATCATATGAGTTGCATCACATGAGAGAGAAGGATCTTTGTGTCATTTATTAATTATGATTGTGATTAAGTTATGATAAAACATTGATAATTCTTGGTTTTGTTCTTTCTGGGACGCACTGTATAATTCATTTTAATCCAGATCCAATATTATTATTATTATTATTATCAATCTCCCTCCTATTCAATTCACATTACAGATTGGTGAAGTGTTTCCTGACTTCCATAAGTCGTTGTGCCCTGAATCCTACTACTGATGCATGTCCCGATGGTCTGAGGTATCAGCTTGCTAATGTCTACTTAGATGAGCTTGCAAGGGAAGGCACAGAAGATGTAAGTTTACACAGGAAGGTCTACACATTCTCTGTTACATGTTTGTGTTTTTTGGTGCTTGGTGTCTTTTGTTTTGTGTTTGGTGTTCATTATGGAGTCTGGACAGTTTGCATGTCCAGAGGGGTGTTTCACAAAGACAAGATCAACTTTAAGTTGGACTTAACTATGGCAGGCATTTCATGCTACTGGTTCCTCTAACTATTCCTGGCATTGGTTTCTCAAGGGACGTACAAATCATGGTCACAAATCTACAGAATTTATCTTTTTTGATAATTCATTATTGAAGGAAAAAAGATTATCTAAGGATCATGATTGAAAGACCAATAGTGAGAGCAACCAGTGGCATGAATGGCCTGTCATTGTTAAGTCCAATTTAAAGTCGATCGTAGTTTTTGTGAAACACCCCCCCCCCCCCCCCCAGATGTTATAAGGTTCCAGCTTGCTAACATCTACTTAGATGAGCTCGCAAGGGAATGCACAAAAGATGTATAAGTTTGCAGTGTGATACATGCAGGCAGGCGCGTACGCAGGGGGGGTGTTTGGGGGGGTTAAACCCCCCCCCCTTGGTATTTTTATGTGTGTAAACCCCCCTAAAGAATCCCTAAAACCCCCCCCCCCCCCTTTGGATTTTTTTTTTTTTTAAATTATTAAAAAAAAAAAAAAAAAAAAATTACCCCCATGGCTGACCTAAGAAAGGTGACCTCCCCCCCCAACGGAACAAAATGTCAAATTTTCAAATTTCGAGACCAAAAAAAAAAAAAAAAAAAGTGTCCCCCCCCCCCCCCCCCCACTGAGTGACTTTTCGGCTGACTGAGTCGTTGCGATTTTGTTTGGACTACCAAAAAAAAAAAAATAGTGTCCGCTTACCCCCCCCCCCCCTCCCCCCCCCCCCCCCCCCACTGAACGACTTTTTGGCCGGCGCGATTTTCAAATTTTCCTGAGTCGTTGCGAAATTTTGGACCCGATTTTAAAACCCCCCCCTTGAAAAAATCCTGCGTACGCCACTGCATGCAGGTCTATGCCTTCTCTGAACATCTTTACTATTTATGTGTTTGTTTATGTGTTTGGTGTCTTGTATCTATATGTATTTTTGGCTACAAAGTGCTTAGTGTTTGGTGTCGGTTGTACCTGTTTTGTGTCGGGTGTATAATGAATGGTTTTTGCCTTTTGGTGCTGGGAAGAGCGTTGAACACCCTGATGCTTGTGACTTGAGTACACCTAAGTAGACAATACCAACCTGGTAATGTCTATTTAGGTGTGTACTCACAGCGGAAAGCACGGAATATGTTAGTTTACAGTGGTGAATTTGTCTTTATGATTACTACGTACACTACACGTATTCTACATGATCAAAGAAATCTTTTTGTAAGATATTGGGATATTCAAACTACCTACATGTCGAGGGGTCAAGGACACAAAGACATAACTCCATTGTATGAAATGAAGTGATTTATGTGTCACTGAGCCCTTGGGCCTTAAGGAGTTAAGCCTATGTTTCACTAGCCATTGGGTGGAGTTCAGTCTTTGTGTTTCCTGGAAAGCCCACATTTTCAGAACATTTTGGTATCAAATACTCATTTAGGCAAAATATGGAGTTATGTCTTTGTGTCACTGAACCCTCGATGTACTAGATCCCAAAGTAAATTTGATCTGCATTCTTCCATCCTTTGCAGCTGAGTCCACAGCAGGCCTCTACTTTCTTATTCCCTTTTGCGGAATTGGTCACCAAAACTCTCAAGTAAGTTTATATTTTTTCTGAAATTCATGACCAGTATTATATGATATATTGTAATCAATGTTTGTTGGAAAGCAGACAAATTCCATTTCGTTCTTGTACTAAGGGAATTTTTAATAACTTTTCAACCTTGGTTACAGTATGAAGCTTTACCATCTCCCTTTTTATGGATCCTTCAATAAGCTACTGTAAAAGTAGAAATATTCAAGGGTACATTCATTTTCGCAGATTTCGCGCTAAGATCGGCAAGCACAAATTTTAGAACTCACAAAAATATAATCATGATTTCTTATGCGTGTTTTGAACGGGCTAAATTGCATGCAACGCAAATATGTTTTGGGGTCGCTCAGCGCGTGTTTACAGTATACTGTATGGTGGTATTGGTAGTGCCTGCATGGTACAAATAATCTGTAGTTAGGAGTAGACTGAGAGCCTTAATTGTCAAGAAAGCAAGCAACCATTCATCCCTTAATCGATTTCACATCATTGATGGTGTGTCAGGTTATTTGTGTATATATCACATTCCTATGTGTATTTCTCTTTGATTTTCTGATCTTGACATGTTCATTGATTTTTAGTTAATATATATTTTTTAAAATCTGTATTTGTTTTTAATGCAAGCAGATCGCTATGATTAACAGCTCTCGTGCTGATCAGGGTGTTCCATCCCACAAGTGGTCAATAAATTAATAAAATAAATTAGTAAAATCCAAGAATTGTGTACTCTTTTGATGGCACATAATATAAAGACTGTATTTTTATGCCTCCGTTACGAAGTAGCCGGAGGCATTATGTTTTCGGGTTGTCCGTCCGTCCGTCCGTCCGTACGTCCGTACGTCCGTCCGTCCGTCCGTACGTCCCGTTCTCGTGATCGCGTTATCTGAAGAACCGATTGATGGATTCCTGCCAAACTTTGGTCATGTATGTATCTTGCAGAGCCGATGAACTGATTAGATTTTGGGGTCACGAGTTCAAAGGTCAAAGGTCACAGGGCTCATTATGTATGCAAAAACAGCTCGTGATCGCGTTATCTGAAGTACCGATTGATGGATTCCTGCCAAACTTTGGTCATGTATGTATCTTGCAGAGCCGATGAACTGATTAGATTTTGGGGTCACGAGTTCAAAGGTCAAAGGTCACAGGGCTCATTATGTATGCAAAAACAGCTCGTGATCGCGTTATCTGAAGAACCGATTGATGGATTCCTGCCAAAATTAGGTCATGTATGTTACTTGCAGAGCCGATGAACTGATTAGATTTTGGGGTCATAAGGTCAAGGTCAAAGGTCATGCGGCTCATGTATGCAAAAATAGCTCGTGAACACATTCTCATTAGAACTGACAAATGGATTACTATTTAACTCGGGACATCTCGTAGAGCCAATGAACTGAGTAGATGTTAGGGTCATGAGGTCAAAGATCAAAGGGTCATATATGTATATGAGAAATTGCTTGTAATCACGATATTCTGAGAAACTGTTAATGGATTACAATTGAACTTGAATTTGAAAAATTTCTTCTGTTTTTGTTTGTAAAATTGCTCTATGACGGAGGCATCATTTCGACTGCGCGCAGTTGAAGTTCCATCTAGTTCTATCTCATTTTTCATCTCATTTTTCGATCTCAATTTTCTTGTGCATTTCAGTAAGAAGCTGCGTGATGTGATGCTCCAAGATATTTTCCAGGACGTGGTTGAAAGGTCGGACGTAGGAGAGGGGGGAGAAGAAGAGGAGGATGAAGGGATAGCATCGGATGAGGATAGAACAAAGAGTTCCAAGAATGGTGAGAAGGAATTTGTTTTCATTATCTCCTCCCCCCCCCCCCCCCCCCCCCTCAGAAAAAAAACAAGCAAAAAAAAGCACACACAAAAATACAGGAGAGTCTTAAAGACGGGAGATTTTAAAAGTTAGATTTACAAAGTTACAAAGTGAAGGTACAGTTTTTATGAGTGACCTCGGTACCCACCTGACCACGAATCTACACACAAGCACACGTATGCACAAGTTTGCACAACGTCCACTCACTTCTAATGATTATTCCAAACATGGTAGGCCACCAAATTATTCTTTAGATCAGCAAAAGCATCACAACTAAAGCATTGTCAATATTCATTTTTTTGTTTTGGGTAGAGATGTAACTTGCTGTCTGTGATAGAGGAGGTGTGATAGCTTAGTTGGTAGAGCAGTGGTCCTCTTGCTGCTTACTAACAAGCATTTATTGATCTACATTTGCCACACTCCACCCAGGTGAAGTAAATGGGTACCTGGTACGAATTTATTCCTTGAAACGCAGCGCGCGTACCAGCTGCACTGCTAAAGCCAGGGTAATTATGCTGCATTATTCTAGAGCACTTAGAGACTTCTGATAAAGTAAGTGTTAGGTGCTATATAAGCAAATATCATGATTATTATTATGCTTTCTTAATAGCAGTCAGGTTAAATAACCACCACTAAATCATTTTCAATTTTCAAATTTTCAAATTTGTGGGTTCTGAAATTCTTTAACAGCTGTAAAGCAGAGGAAGAGGAAGAGGAAAGGAAAGGCTGACGACGAGGAGGATGATGATGAAGAAGAAGAAGAGGAGGAGGAGAAAGAAGATGACGTTGATATCTTGGCCAAAGTCATGTTTCCGGAGGAGATGGTTCCACCTCTTCAGGTAAATCATACCTTTTCAGATTCTCAGAGAAGTTCAACAAGTATAATCAATTGTGTTAAATGTTTGCTGCTAGTGCATGCGTCACAAGAAATTAAATAAAAGGCTTGAATCTTTGTAACATTTTGAACATTTTTGTAGCATGCAGAAATAGAGTGTACGATCTGGGACTTGTACGAGTTGGTGGTGGTATAGTGATTTAAGCCAGCTAAATAAACTCATCTATGTTGGTTTAGGTGTGCAAGTTGGTGCATTGCGTGGAGCTTTCCTCACTCCAAGAAATCCATGTTCAACACCTAGGCCCTGTATCTTAAAACTGATTATCAATAACAAGTAAAAATAACCGTTATAAGCTACTGAAAAAGTGGCCTTTGATTGGCAGGCCTGATAAAACCCCGATTTAAATCGGTTTCCTGATTTTTTAAAAAAATTTCCTGATTTTCCCCCGATTTTTTTCTTCTCGGTTTAAAAAAAAAAAAAAAATTTATCCTAATTTTACCGATTTCCCCGTTATTTTCTCTAATCTTCCCTATTTTGCCCTATTTTTTTTCTCCAATTTTCTAACTCGAAAGTGGGGAATGTTGTTAGATGCCATTTTTTCCCCCGCGAATCCTCTTCTCTTTTTTTTACTCAAGGGGGGCGTGGTTGAGGGGAAAACAAAAAACCTATTTTTTTTTTAGTGCTCACTTTCACCCCTGGATTGGCTGAGAGCAGATTTGTCATAGAACTTTATCATTTGTTATTGATTACAAGTTTTATGAAATGGGGCCCTGGATAGAGAGAAACAGCTGAAATTAAATGCCTTGTTACTGGACATTAAAAACATGTGTAGGAATTGAAACCATCAACTGATCGTAAGATAACAAGCCTCATGTGAATCTGATAATTAATAGACTATTTTCGTCATGTAACCAAATTTGATGGAAAGGTCTTTGTGAAGTGCCTCAATACAAATATTGCATTCATCTGTAATGAATGATTGTATTTCAATAGTCAGAATGCAAAATGCGTACATTAAGTGTTGTTGGGTAGGGCAAGCTATAATGTTTGTCCTACCTTGCAGCAACTAATGTATTCAGTTCACATTCTGACCTTTGAAATACAATTACTTTTAACAGATGCATGAAGTAATACCGGGGCACCTCACAAAGATGTATGCATTAGATTTGGCCTCTGTATAAAAATGGTCTATTTAGTGAGTGTTCCTGTCCCCCCATGTCCTGTGTAATTCCCCCAATAGCCATTAAAAGTAGGTGTTTGAGCTATTGTGGTACAGATTAGAACATGATTGATTTATTTAAAGTGCTCTTTTTATATTTGTCTCTGGTGTTACAGTACGACTATGGGATGATTGCAGACAAGTTGTTTGATCTAGCCAGTGAGAAGAACATTCCAACACGCAACAGAAAACCAATCTATAGAATGGTTGAAAGGTAAGTCTTATTTTCTATGACTATTTATATTTAGTGACCACTTGTATAGAAAGACCACCCATGTCAAAAACTCGTCGTTTAAAATTGAAACCCCCATTTTACTTTCACCACTACTACAGTACTTGTACTAGAGCTGAGATTGTGATAAGCCCTAAGTTAACACTAGCGCTTTAATCTGTCCAGCTGCAATCCAATATCTTAATCTCTCACTCAGAGCCTCAAGGCTCTGTCCAAGTTTTTAACGAGAGAAACGAAAATGGGGTTCTGGCCCCCCATCAGAATTACATTGACTTCTGTGTTAAAGTAGAAGCTCTCTCAAAGTTTTAACGAGAGAAACGAAAATGGGGTCCTGGCACCCCATCAGATTACATAGACTCCTGTGTTAAAGTGTGGGGTATAGTTGTAACGAGAGCTTATTGTAATGACCTGTCTTAAAAAAACACATTTTTGGTTTCCCTTGAAAATGGTTTCTCATTGAAACGTGAACTAAAGGAACCTGTACATAAAGACCACCTGCCTTTATATATAAAGACCACTTTTCTTATCTCCCTTGGGAGGTCTTTATAGACAGGTTGCACTGTATGTAAGTCACTGAGCCTTAGTATAGTTTATTTCACATCTTATTGGAATAATCTTCTCTATTAGATTGTGAAATACAGTAAAACCTGTCTTAGTGGCCACCTGTCTATAGTGACCACTTTTTGTGTTTCCCTTGGGTGGCCTTAATAGACAGGTTTGACTGTATGCCAGTACGCAATGTATTCTTTGATTTTGGAGCACATGTCTTTGATATGTTTTTAAAAGTAACTTGATGTATTCCAAAACAAAAGAATACATTAAAAATGATTATAACGTCTTGTTCCTTACATGAATATCTACAAACATGCAATTTTCTTTGTTCATCGGACATTCGACCCCCCTCCCCCAGTCAGGGAGGTGCTTAAAATAGCCCAGTATAGTAAGGGTTAAGGTTGCACCAGCTTGTAGTTAATGTACAGCAACTGCTTGCCCAGTATGTAGTTTACATTTTTGATACAATAATCTAGTAATTCCAGGGTTAAATAGGTTTCACATAGCAAGCAAGACTGCATATTTTTTACTATGTAATCATGAAGGTGTTTCTTGACTGCCTGTTAATTCTTGGTAGCTTGTTCAATGCAAAGGTTTTAAATCTTTGGACACGTTTGATATTCTTTGATGTTTCTGTATGATGCTTAATTGTGATTCTCCCGCTTTCTTTTGGATTGTTTTGTAGATTCCGAATCTTAACCAGGAAAGGGGGAGGGGGTGATATCTATGACTTTCTTAATCCCGCTGTACTACTTGTACCTTCTTACCCCCTCTATATAGCAAACAATCCCTAATCGGTGCCTGTTTGTCCCCCATGATCACCGTTTTCTTATGTTAATTGAGAGCTGATTTGATGAGATAGCCACCTGTTAGTGACCTTGCAGGGAGGTCTAATCCCTCCTGGCCAAACTAGTGCAGTAGGGCTTTAATGTGAAATAGTATTAACCACAGATATATATTTTTCTCTTCTTTGTTGTTTGATTTGTCAGATTCCAAAGCTTAGCCAAGGGGGTGTACCCGATGCCTGATCTCCTGAAGCAGATTCGGGAGGAGAAGGACAACCAGTACCTCAAGGATGAACTACCTTGGTGGAAGAAACTACAGGAGAGGGAGAAAAAGAAGAACAGGAGGAGGAAGAGGAGGAGAGGGAAGAAAGGTGGAAACGACGAAGATGGAGAAGATGATAGTGAAGATGATGGTGAAGGATCTGATGATGAGAAGGAGGAAGAAGAGGAAGAGGTGGTTCTGAAGAAGAAAAAGAAGGTACAGCAGGAGGAAGAAGATGAGACGGAGACGGTTAGCAAGAAGAAGAAGAAGAAGAAGCAGAAAAAGACAACCTCGATTGAAGAACAGACAGAGGAAAAAGCAGCCACTGTTGAACAAACAACTGATGTTGACAATGAATTCACAGAGTTAAAATCCGCCAAAGCAAAAGGAAAGAAAAAGAAAGGAAAAAAGAGGGGAGATGACGAAGTACTTGTAGAAGAATCCGTCCAATCAGAAGCCGCAAATCCTGAAGGGGATGCTGAAGCGGAAACCTTTCCTAGTCCTACGGGGGCAAGCAAGAGAAAAAAGAAAAAGAAGGGAAAGGCAAAAATGAGTGATGAATCGTCTGAAGATGCTAAAAGCAACACGGACAGTGATTCTGGTTTGAGCGTAAATAAATCAAGCACGGAAATAGTTGGAGATTCCCCAGGTGACGTGGATGGTGCGACTGTAGAGGGCGCTGCACCTGTCGAGCCACAAACTCCTAGGACAAAATCTAAAAAGAAAGGGAAAAAGCAGAAATCACCAACAGGCGATGACACTAATGATACCAATGAAATGGAGTTGAACACTGTTGATGTTGCGTCAAAAGGGTCAAAGGTCAAATCAGCTCAGCAGGAAGGGTCGCCCAAACCATTTGCAGCTTTCGAGAAGGTCTCTACTCCTCCAGCGTACGTGAAGAAGTCCAAGAAGATGATGGAACCCAGTACACTACCAAGAGCAAAGGCACATGTGAGTAACTGGCATTTCAATGTTACAACAAGCTTTACCCGTAGATATTTGACAATAATATGCAGTTTTTGTGTAGCGCATATCAAAGTATGATATAGCATCTCTATGCACTTCCAAAGGACTTAGGATACTATTACCCTGGCCTTAGCTCTGGCAACTGTAGCGCTCATTAATTTCATGGAATGGATCTCCTAGAGTAATATCCCTGAAGAATGTATTACAGTCCTTGAAAGGGGATCTTACATGTGCTCCAGCAACTTTCACTCCAGTGACCTTTGCTCCATGCTCTACTTTGCCAAAGGTATAGGATTGGGGTTTGGTATAGTGTTGGGTTCTCTGTTGATTAAGGAATTTCGTTTCTGTATGAAATTGACCGGGTAGTAATTCTCACTGGAGTACATTTCGTAGAACTGCTTGCATGGATCAATCAAAATGTTTATAGGGCAGTTTTAATTATCTGTAATGTTATTATTAGAATTATGTATTATTATTCCTGTATGTTTATTTTACGTTGTACCTTACTTGTATGTTAAGCGCTTAGAAACATTGTATTAAGCGCTTTATAAATGTAATTTATTATTATTATTATTATTATTAAGATTCATCCCCGTCATGTGCATTTGAATAATAATAATAGTGGTTGCACCTTTATATATAACGCTCATATCCATCACACATCGACGCTCATGACGCTTAAACATTTTTACCATGGGTATAGGCGAGCAGCCAAATTTATCAGCGCTCGAGCATATCAGGTACCCATTTACACCTGGGTAGAGATTGGCAAATGTAGATTAATTTCTTGGCAAAGGACATTAATTTTGAGCTGGGATTTGAACCATGTACCTTGTGTTGTAACCCAGTTCACACCGCTGCCTCATATATGTCTCTCTTATTTTATGATATGTAGAGCCGTTTTGAAACCCAGTTCTCACCGCTGACTCATATACATGTCTTTCTTATTTTATGATATGTATAGCCGTGTTGAAACCCAGTTATCACCGCTGACTTATACATGTCTTTCTTATCTTATGATATGTAGAGCCGTGTTGAAACCCAGTTATCACCGCTGACTTATACATGTCTTTCTTATCTTATGATATGTAGAGCCGTGTTGAAACCCAGTTCTCACCACTGACTCGTATATGTCTTTCTTATCTTATGATATGTAGAGCCGTGTTGAAACCCAGTTCTCACCGCTGACTTATACATGTCTTTCTTATCTTATGATATGTAGAGCCGTGTTGAAACCCAGTTCTCACCGCTGACTCATATACATGTCTTTCTTATTTTATGATATGTATAGCCGTGTTGAAACCCAGTTATCACCGCTGACTTATACATGTCTTTCTTATCTTATGATATGTAGAGCCGTGTTGAAACCCAGTTCTCACCACTGACTCGTATATGTCTTTCTTATCTTATGATATGTAGAGCCGTGTTGAAACCCAGTTCTCACCGCTGACTTATACATGTCTTTCTTATCTTATGATATGTAGAGCCGTGTTGAAACCCAGTTCTCACCGTTGACTTATACATGTCTTTCTTATCTTATGATATGTAGAGCCGTGTTGAAACCCAGTTCTCACCGCTGACTTATACATGCCTTTCTTATTTTATGATATGTAGAGCCGTGTTAAAACCCAGTTCTCACCGTTGACTTATACATGTCTTTCTTATCTTATGATATGTAGAGCCGTGTTGAAACCCAGTTCTCACCGCTGACTTATACATGTCTTTCTTATCTTATGATATGTAGAGCTTTGTTAAAACCCAGTTATCACCGTTGACTTATACATGTCTTTCTTATCTTATGATATGTAGAGCCGTGTTGAAACCCAGTTCTCACCGCTGACTTATACATGCCTTTCTTATTTTATGATATGTAGAGCCGTGTTAAAACCCAGTTCTCACCGTTGACTTATACATGTCTTTCTTATCTTATGATATGTAGAGCCGTGTTGAAACCCAGTTCTCACCGCTGACTTATACATGTCTTTCTTATCTTATGATATGTAGAGCTTTGTTAAAACCCAGTTATCACCGTTGACTTATACATGTCTTTCTTATCTTATGATATGTAGAGCCGTGTTGAAACACAGTTCTCACCGCCAATGACGAGAAAGAGGGTGAAGATTGCGCTATCCATGAACCAATTCCAAGGTGAGTTTACCAAATTACTTTTTTTCTAAGAGCTATCTAATGTAGTAATATTAATAATAATACATTTATAGAGTGCAGAAACTATCCAACATGAAGTATATATTCTACTGTGCTACAAGAGCTCCTGATATGCTTAGATTTATAGTTAATAAAAAAGATATGTTTTCAGTTTTGATTTAAAGATATTTAAAGATGGTGATTTCCTGACTTCAAATGGCAAGTTATTTCAAGTGGTGGTTATTTTACCTGACTGCTAAGAAAGCATAAATGCTTGTAAGTAAGCAACCAGCGGACCAATGGCTTAAGGTCCTCTCCCAGAGACCATGTAATGAGGATTGATGCCTTACCAAAGGGCACTAGTGCATCGACTTGGTTTCGAACCCGGGTCACCGGATTACGAGACCACTGCTCTACCGACTGAGCTATCGTCTTGAATTCAGTAGTGCTGTCATCATCATTGATTTTCACTGGCAACATGTCAATGTATAATCTTTCTCAATGTTGACACTGTGTTGATTACAGTTTTGATTATTTTCCTTGTTTTTCCTCATTTAAAGTAAGGTGAGTGTGGCAAATGAAGTTTAATACCATGCCAAAGGACATTAGTGCCGTATCGGGGATCAAACCACGACCTTTGAATTGCAAGTCAAGTGCTTAAACCATTCAACCATGACATTTCTGAAGTTTGCTGTGCGCGAAAGTTTGTTGTTTTACAGTAGCTCGTTTCCTTGTGTGCAGATCATGTAATTTTTGTCTCTTTCTCTTTGCTTTAGCTGCGAGTGAATACAAGCAGAGGATCAAGATGAGTCCCGGTGTGCCTTTCGATGGATCTAAGAAGCCAGCATTCTCTGTCCTGAAGCAGACACCCCCAAGGTCAGAGGTCAAGAGTGCAAAGGTCAAAGGGTCATCAAAGAAGTCTGGAAAGGTAGAGAAGAAGAGGGCAAGGGCAACGGACTTCTTCTAATCTGATTTCGATGGAATTATTTTTCTTGATTTTTCATTAGGAAGTCCATTTTTGTTTGGAGAACTGTTGATTGCATAATTCATATTGCAGTCTAATCGAGGGCCTCACTAGCCCCCTTTTTCACTGAATATTCAGGAAGGAATTATGACTAAAGTGTTAAAATATTCTCTCTTTGAGATTAGAAAATACTATTTTCAAGAAATATAGCATTTGTAATTCTTATTAGTTTCAAAATTTCACCCAATTTATTTTGAGACCCAAGTTTTTATGGCTAGTATTTTGCCAATTTGCAATCATGAGACCCTTATTTTTAATCAGAAAGTATCAGCCATATTTCTGCAAAATATAAATGATAAAGATAATAACTTATCTTCCATTACTTTATTATTTTGTAGAATCATGTAGTTTGAAACCTTATGTTTTTATTTTATGTTCTAATGAATACACTTCCTAAAGCACTCTTGTTTTGACTCATTGATTGCAACCGATGGTCTTCTTTGAGGTATACCAAAACGAATTTTCATGGTAATCAATAATAATCAAATTAATTTCACCGTTCGATGATACGATGCAACAAGGATCGTTTCAAAAAGCAAAGGAGATTTGATTGATAGATTTTAAGTGGTGCTAGTCTTTGAAGTTTGAGCCTGAAGCCAACTTTTCAACGCCTAATCCATGGTATTTTGACATTATCATGTTATATACTGAACCCTTTTGCATTAAAAAAAAAGTTCTGTGAAGATAAGTGTCCTTTACTCTTCATTTATTCATATTCCACATATTATTCAAGCTTATGATAAGTATTTACATTGATTTGAAGAGAAAGAAATGCAGAGCATGATGACAATATTGAGAATGAGAACAATAGAGTAATGGGAAAATGTGGATTGGTCTACTGAGAAGCTTATAACTTTTTTTAGACGCCCAGACTATTGAAGAAAAAAATAAGAGAAAATTGTCATAGACCTTATATGATTTAGCTAAGTAAATTAACAAAAATAATGGAGTATAAAACAACAAATGCCACGATATATGTGTACACAGTAAACAGATGCAATTAACAAAACAGTTGACACACAATAATTTGTTTAAAAATATTATTGTCAAAAATTTGAAATAAAGACAAAAGACAGTAGGAATTCAGTAATAATTGATACAAATTAAGTTCTTAATCAAGTGATTTAATAAGTGAAAATATGATCTGTGAGTAATATAATCTGTGCAGAGCTAGAAGAAGGGCATTAAGCCTGTGTTCAAATATAAGACTTAAAGAGAAGGTTGAGTTCTGGGAAGAGGTGAAAAATAATTTGTGAGAGTTATTGTATTATGCAAGTGTGGAAGAACATCGGAGAAAAAATGTTCCCTGAAAAGCATGGCTCTTCAATGCCTTAATATTCCAAATATGGAATGTAACATGATAAAAATTGGGACTCCACATGTTCATGTAGTCCCATATACATCTTTCTGTGTACAGTGTTTGTAACTTTACCAGGACTTGGCCAAATTTCTTATCATTTTGATGATTCCAGAACCTTGCAATACACACAAATTCTTATATGCTAGATGATCAACCTTTTCTGGTCGATTCCACACCGTTTCTTTCACAATGCAATCGCATGACCAGAACTCAACTTAATCTTTAAGGTCTTCTGGCTCCAAACAATATATATGGCAGTTTAGGGTTTCGATGTAATGGCGAATAAAGAGTTAAGAGCCAGTCGCAAATCACCCGCAATGATAATAACACAATAACTACTATGTATGTACACTGTATAGTTTGTCTTTGTAAAAAAAGTAGAGGATCAAAGAGACTCAAATCATTACTATAAATCAGTGAGTAACAGGGGTATTCAATACTGTTTTCACAGATAGGGTTTTTGTTTTCAGCTTCAACAAAGCACAGTATTGAGTGATCACGCTTCAGTGTCTCTGTAGGCTTGTCCTCATTAGCTCCAGATTGCCAAATTACCCGCTTTTTGAACTATCCCGATCGCAAATTATCCAGTTAATTTGCGTCTTCATCAGCCCGAAGTTGCAATTAGCTGGATATTTGGTTGAAATAATCATCCCAAGATATCTTGGGCTAGTTTGCAAAGTATCCCGCTATTTGTCCGGTGCGCCTTCAGCAGCCCGAAGACTCGCACTATGTGCAAACGCTGAGTAAAATATCTCAAGCCAATTTCTTGAGCTCGAGTTTCAAGTTTCGAGCTCAAGTCTCGAGCTGATGAAAACGCGATTTGTAACTTCGAGACTACTTCCCAAATCAGAAGTAGAAGGCTATTTGGCAATCTCGAGCTGATGAGGACAGGCCTTGTGAGGCTCTTACGCACCTTCCAAGAATCCAATGTCACTCTGTGAACTCTGATTAATTACAATGTTTTGTAAAATTGTTAACCAACTACAATGTCCACCCTTTATGAATAAACAACTGAAACATGGAATAAAACCTGGATGGAATGTATTATATTGTACAGTAAAACCTTGGTTTAATAGGCTCTAATATAATGAGGTATCTATCATAACAAGGTAATTTCTTTGGTCCGAAAGACCAAGTTTTAGCTGATATTTCGTCTAGAGCCAGAGGGCTTTAATTCTGTGTAAAAATGCTATGACTTCACACCCTTTTAACTCGAAACAGACAGTTTTTTTCATAATGTGTTATATAGAAGCAACTCTGTATTTAAAAAAAAATGCATATTAGTAGTACTTTTACATTTCTCTCCCTTGTTTAACTGGTAAATGAATTTAAAGAAAGGCAAAAGATAAGACCTATGAGGGCTTGTGTTTGAATAGCGATGGTATATGGTTCAGAATCTTGAAATGCGAAGACAGTAGAAGAAGTTATCTAGAGGAGAATGGAAAGAGCCACGATACAGAAGATGTGTGATGTGAAACTATGACAAAAAGAACACAAAGGTTCGGTCTGGAAGAAACTATGGTGGAAGTGGTAAAGAGTTTTGGATCGATCGAGGTGGATGGGTCATGTGTTGAGAAGGGGAGATGATGGACCTGTGAAAAGAGAAGTGAATTAAGATGGATGGGTCATGTGTTGAGAAGGGAAGATGATGGACCTGTGAAAAGAGCTTAGGATCTTGAAGATATGGATGGCAAAAGAGGGAAAGGAAAACCGAAGATATCATGAAAAGATATGGTGAAGAAACAAAGCAGCGAGTAAGGATGGTCTAAATGAGGAGGATGCTCGAGACAAGAAGTTGATGGAGGGATTTTCATCATGGCGCGAAAGTTGATAACCCCTCGTAAGAGGGAAAATGCTGACTTTAATAAATGATGATGACGATGAAGAGTTGCTTAGTAAATACATGTAATGCCATTACATATAGTGCAATTACATGTAGTACGAGACACATGCAGTACTTGGAAGAGTATATACTTCGAGAGGTCCGTGACACAATGACGTAACTCCATTTTGGCCATTTCGAGAAAAAGTGGTTTATGTGTCACTGAGCACTTGGGCCTTAAGTCTATGTTTCACTAGCAATTGACTTCAATGGGATGTTGGGTGGAGTTAAATTTTTGTGTGTTCTGGAAAGCCCACATTTTTCTGAACATTTTGATATCAAATAATCATTTTGGAAAAATATGGAGTTACGCCTTTGTGTCACTGAACACTCAACTTGTAGAAGTACTTCTCCACTATGGCAGGGACAGTATAACGTGTTATACCCAGGGCCTAGGGCACCTTCAGTACTAGTTGATACAAGCATAGTAAAATAATATAAAGTGCCACTTAAGTGCTTTACATGCCCTTTTGACAATAGTATACATCAATATTCATCCAATGGGACAAGAGCGAGGAACTTAAAGAACTATATACATATGTATATATGCTTATATGATATCCAATTCCCATCCATTTCCGCAGCATGCCAATTTCAGCTTGCCAACCACTGTCAAATATGCTTTTCAGAATCGGTTGATGATGATACAAAAGATCAAGGGATTTTCAGATAGTGTTAAGGAGTGCAAGAGCTAACACTAGGTCCTGGAACCACATCACACGATCCGAAACTGTCCATGCTCGTTAGGTCGATTACAGGTGGTCAACATAATTAAGATGATGTATGAAAGGGTGATGGCATCAACGGATCTGACACCCTTCAGTCCTCCTGCAGCAACGGCTTGATGATTTCCTTGAGTGCTGTTCTCGTAGGGCTGTCGATGGTTTTGAAGGACATGCACAGTGGATGCATGGCTCATGATAAGCATGATTGCATGAACCTAGATCTGATATTTTGTTATTTCCTAGAGCAGTACGCACCTCCATACATGTCTGCAAATGCTCAGAGTGAGGAAATGTCCAGGGACTCGTTTCACAAAGCCTTTTTTCAATGAAAAATGACAAAAATCAGTGACAAATATGCTGTTAACCAATCAGACAAAAACTGTCATTTGTCACTGATGACAAGTTTTGTGAAACACCCCCAGTTCTTTTACTCGAAGATCAGGAAGGTACATGTATCGACCATACCGTCTAACTTTTGCGCTGCATGTCGGGTGTATTTTGCGAATAATGGAAGCGATTAATGTTGATCAAAACAAAGATGATCACTGATACATAGAGCACGAATAATGCTTTTAGAAATATCTCCATCAAACCTCTTTAATTTGAAATGAGAATGCAATAGTGTAGGTTCCTAGGGTCGTAGCGCTGATGATATTGCGAACAGCAAGTTCTTTGTAGAGAAGTAGGTGCCAAGATCTAGTGGATATTTTTGATTTGATTTTGATTTGATTTACCAACTGTATTATTACCAACTGTAATACAGTAAAATATTTCATACAATGAGTTTAATTGTACAAGAAGATAAACTTTTGGTTGGTTAAGGGGCCAGATAATTATGTGCTAGTCGAGCCTAACCCCTTAAACAGCTAAACAAAGTATTTTGGTAAGTTTAGAGAATATAACAAAACAAAAATAATGAATTTACTAATATAATCGATACTTTAAAAATTACGAACACTTAACAATGTCTTACAATATACACACTGATAATGTAGAATATAACCTTTGTACATATGCAGATTATTTAACCCGATATTAAATTCATGATTTGTTTAACAAATGACGACTAACAGAATTCCGAAAACTATTTCTAGACCTTGTAAATGTGACACTAATAGCTAATCTATTCCAAAATTCACTGCCCGCAAAAGACAATGAACGTTGATTTTGTGTCGTTCTAGATCTTGGAACACGTAATTGTCCACCTATTTTTGTTTTGTGGAATAGCTAAAATAATAATAATAATAATAATAATAATAGTAACATTTTATATAGCGCATTTCAGAACTGATAGAACTCTCAATGTGCTTTACGTCCAAGGTAATACACTTAAAAATACATAACAATATCGATACCTTATTCTACACTTAAGATACATAGCAATATTAACAACAACAATACTTAAAAATCTACGAAACATGGTTTAATTGAATGCATCATTGAAAAGACATGTTTTGAGTTGTTTCTTGAAGAGTTCAGGGTTATTCTGAGAACGAAGAGCACTTGGTAGAGATACAAGAGACCTTTCACCGTACGTCATAATATTGTTCTATAGCTGCCGTGGTACTTGCAGAAGTTGTTGTGTGGAGGACCTAACTAATCTTAATGGGTTATTGTTATAAGGATATTATTTCAGAAATCTAGTGAATCTTGCTATGCTCTACAATGTCACAGTACTCTATTTAAAAAAGGGGCAAATTGTCATGGACTAGATCAAACATAAAAGTAGATATTGATAAGTCATGTCAATTATACACATTTAGAATTTTTAAATAATGGAGCTGTAGGAGTTCTCCATTTACTAAATGTTAAAGCACGAACCGCCTGTAATACACTATGTTTTTTTTAGGATATCTTATAAGTGCTACCCACACCTCTATTCCGTAAGAAATGTGTGGTTTTATAAAGGCTCTATAAAATAATATCAGAGTACGGCTAGGAATGCAGACCCATCTGCCAGGGATGAAAACTGAATTGATTTTAATCTTGCCAAATACATCAGCTTTCCTAAGCTTTGATTGACCCAAATTAATGAAGAGCGAAAAAGTCTAATTTCAGGAGCAAAGCACACAAGTCAAAGAGGCAAAAAGGAGAAGAGTTTTATATTTTAGTATGGATTTTGCAATATCCTGGACACATGTCAATTGAAAGTTTTTGGTAGCGATTCAGAGCAAACAAAACGGATTAGTTAATGCAACATTTTTTTGGTTGTAACTTTTTTTGTGGCCATCCATCTCTTGCCTACAAGATTGGCGTAGCCAGGTAGGGTGAATCGAAACATTGAACAAGGAATTGTGGGTCTGGAAAGAGAGATTGAAAGAAAGAGAGAGAAAGAGAGATATAGAATGTCTCATTACGTAGAGGTTATAATGACATGCGGTAAAACAGTGCC